TATTGCTTGAAATAAATATGGCCAGATTTTACTAATAGGATTCCACGGATTTAATGGGAGTTTTCGCTATTTTTTGGATTTTCAGGAGAATGATTCAAGATCGAGCTAATCCAAATATACTATTCGATAGAGTATAGGAATTTCTTCTAATACTGTGAGTATGGACGTTGGAATACCCGCGCAAATGAGTATCGGTAGGTTTTACTCGGATACGATGCTAACCTCACCTACAAGACGGTCATTTAATACCTGTCATTGACAAGGAGGTGTTCGAACTGTAAGTTGAATTTACCAGATATTTTTGCATCAATAGAAACCCTTCACCGCCAAACTAACATGGTTAAAATATTAGCGGCTGTTGGCGTACCCTTATGGAGATATTCGATTTTTCAGTGAATTTTCTTTACAAGACCGGTTTTCCCAGCAATATCATATTCTCGAATTGGAACCTGAAACTTTGTATGCGTGAAGGTCTCAATGAGACTAGTTTACAGAAAAAAAATCAGAAGGTTTGGACAAACCCTCTTCAAGATATGAATCTCTCAAAATATAGACAATTTTCTATAGAAGCTGTATGCTTGAGACATCTATATTTCGAAGAGGGTTTGTCCAAACCTTCTGATTTTTTTCTGTAAGCTAGTTTCATTGAAACCTTCATGCGTACAAAGTTTCAGGTCCCAATTAGAGAATATGATATTGCTGGGAAAACCGGTCTTGTAGAAAAAATTCACTGAAAAATCGAATATCTCCATAAGGGTACGCCAACAGCCGCTAATATTTTAACCATGTTAGTTTGGCGGTGAAGGGTTTCTATTGGTGCAAAAATATCTGGTAAATTCAACTTACAGTTCGAACACCTCCATTGTGAGATAGCTTGAGTAAACTATAATCTAAAAAATGCTACTATACTTTAAGCGAACAGCTAGTTATCGTAAACGACCGTTTACAAAAGTATACGATAGAAAGACGGCAATCGTTTTCGGGATCATTTACGATCTTCGGCTACGACCGTTTACTGCGATATCCGACAATCGTTTACAGTTAGCGTTTAGTTACGATGACCGTTTACGGAGATTTTTCATGGTCCTCGTTTACGACGACCGTATGTCATCGTAACACTTCGTTTACGACAACAGTAAACGACTACAGAATACGGTCGCCGTTTTTCACCGTGAGTGATAGGCATACGGCCGTTTACAACTCGGGATGACCGACCCGGGATTTTAACAGCAGTAACCTACTATCGAAAGACTCCATGTACATTCGATTTTATTATTGCCAATATACATTAATGTGGTCTATTTATAAATGCCTATAGTCCGCTGGTGATTGCTGCATTTTTGAATATTCAAATCACACATCTCTCTGTTGTTTCGTGTAATCCGTTATTTTTTTCATAGGAAGTTTTTGTGCTATTTCTTCGACGTGTTCATGTTTGGCTACTATTTATCAGTTTTTTATTACATCTCAACATGGTCGCATGCGTCAATTGAGTAATATTAAGAATGCATATCGATCATTTTTGTCGGTTATTATCATATGGTGGCTGCACGGGACTCTTCTATTATTTTTAAGGTTAAAAAAACATACAAGATGATTCATCCAGTATTAGATTAAATTATTTAGAGAAAATAGGAATCTTTCTAATTTTCAGATAGGAAAAAGCAGAAGCTACTCAGAAGCATACTGATATAAGTATTTCATTAGACGTGTACTATCTTTGGCTAATATAAACTGTATTATCGAATCAACTTTTTACTTTTAACAGCTCTTGCATTCCAAAAAAGAAACTAATCATAGTCTTTAGTAATGAAATGCTTCTGGTTCTCACAATTATTCTATTCCATAAATGCTAAATATCTTTCTGACTAGAATTCAATTACTCACCTTCATTCTGTTTTGTTCTATAATTCAGTTCGATGACGCATCGTCGACCAGCTTATCCAAAACGAAAAAGGTAAGATTATGTACCTTTGTTTTCTCTTAGTGTGTGACCAATACCAGTGATTGCTCAAATCGGTTTGAACCAAAATCGATAAATTTGATTAATGAAATATCAAAGATTTACTTTTACAAACGAAGTACAGTTAAAAGCTGGGAAAAACTTTTTAGAATCGATCCTTTGCCAGAGAAAGGCTTCGAATAAGAAAATCTTGTCGACGAAACAATTTACAAATTTACTTACATCGTAGAGGATTTCTGTAATTTTCCATTCATAGTTATTTTATTATTTATTTTTAGAATAAAATAAGATATGTGTCATTCAAAGCGAATATGACGCCACGAGACTTTCTTCCAGACATTTACTGATCAATCGAGACTACCAACTGAATGTGCGTCTATTTTCAATCAAGACTTCTGTCATTAACAATTTTTTGTATGCAATTTTGAATTATCAATTGAATGTGATATTATTGAGACGAAGAGCTTTTTTTCGACTAAATTTGATCTACAACAATTTTGAGCAATGTAATTTCGCAAACTATTGCTGATCCAGATTAAAAGGTTAGGAAACCAGTGTGGACATCGAATCTTACTTTTGATCTTCAGTTCTCTTCAATAAGTGACTTAAAATTGCAAGCGATAACGATAGAAAATTAAGCAAGCATGACAATGAAAACGAGTATCAGCGTCTAGTCATAGCTACTGTATTCCAAATTTGGTAAAAAAAGTGAGTATAACCTTTTAAAAAAATTCTCTTGAAATTGTTAGTCAAGTATTCTAATTGATTGTTTTCATCAATGTAAATCTTTGATAAAGAAAATCAATCAAAGTTAAAACTCATTGTTTTCGAAACGTAGCCAGAATATATAAAGTAATCGGAATTAATTTTGGAAGCGATTAATATTTGCAGTTACACTATCTCGCTTTCTCATCCTCATATTGAGGTTCGTACTGAATGATTTGTACAATTTTTCAACTTCGGAGAACATACTCAACATTAATTATGTCACTATTCAGTTGCTAACGCTTATGATTAATGTCGACATTACTAAACTGTTAAATAGTAACGTTGTTTGCTAGAGATTTTCTCGCAACAAATAACTATTAGACACAATAAGTAATAAAATGAGATAGTTTATTGGACGTTACAAGGACATGAGTAAATTATGTGAATTGAAATAGAGATTAGAAAAATAAGTGTCAGATGATTCTATTTGCTAGCGTCAGACTCTATTCGATAAAACAAAAATAACCGTTCTATCTACAGAATTGGGGAGTTTACTTTTATTCGATATGTACAGGAAATCAATTCGCGAAAGGTTGCATTTTATTTCGGCGCGCAAGATGAAATAGAATCAAAAGTTCACGTCGAAATAGTTGACTCGATAATGTACACAAATAAAAACGTAAACAGGGGCCAAGAAGTCGTATAAAAGAGAGTACATTGCCAACAAGACTCTTCTTGGCTAGTTCTATTGGATCTTCTCGTGAGTTATCATCAAGCACGTTGAACGTTCCACCAGTGGCACCCGCAGCTAATGTTACCCAAACAGAATTGATTAAATTACGATTATGTGAATCAATTGACAATCAATGAATTTAGTTCATTTCTGTCGACGACTTCTAGTACTTTCACTGGTAACCGTTCGTACAGACTGCTTAATATGATGAATAGTGAGAAGACTAACTAATAGCATAGTAGACGCTGGAATCAAACTCCATGCAACTAAAATTGAAAATCCATTCAATTTTTGCAATAGATTAAGTTGCCGAGACATAGTGTTGGCTGCGAACTGATGGTATACAAGTTTAGCATGAGAATTTGAGTAAGACTAGCAATAAGAATTACGAGTGGAATTAAACGATTTGATAAGTGAATAGAACTCCGGGTGCAAACTGTAGCACATAATGAACTGCACAAAAATGTAATTAGAAAATGGAAAGTCTTATTTGAATGAATATTTAAGGTGTTGATCCCTTATCGACCAGTAGTAACAAGAACTATAAACTAACAGAGTAAAATTCTAAAGAAGATTACCAAAGAAAATGCTTGCTTCAATCGTTTCTATTATAATTATTAAGACTACTTATTTATGCACGAGAATAGATATGTTAGAAATTTGCACATTGCTACTGACGATGTGAATAAACTCAGGCTATAACCAAATTGAAGAAGACGTATTGGAAGAATAATAAATATTACAGCGTAGCCTGTAATGGCCAATGCCATAAAATGTCGGGCACATGAATTAACACGCAGTTTTGGACGAGTGAAAACACACATATTCAAAAATCGAGTGAACATTATCGAACTCCATTTAATAGCGTTAAGAGCAGTAGCAATACCGTTGGTATTATTTAAAGAGGGCTTCTCAAGAGAAACGATACGGAAAATGTAAAATCAGGACAATTCTGCTACTTTTTCTCTATGTATCTTCTTAAAAGAGTTGACAACATGATTATACGAAATGCACAAGAAAATAAGAAGAAGAAGAAGAAGAAGAAGAAGAAGAGGAAAAGTCCTTTAGATTCTTGATTATTTTTCCTTTTAACGAACGATACAAGAATAATGGAATACTATCGATGATTCACGTATTTTGTGTCAAACATGTAGAGATCTGCAACCATGGCAGTTAAGCGGCATGGAAGTCGTTATGTGATTGAAGACTTTCACACTGTAGTAATTTTTGTTTGCATTATTTTTACATTCTACAGAAACGATCGATGATGATGAGAGAAAAATATTTATCATTTCAAGATTATACACATTGGAAAAAGAACATAATAGAGATACATTCCATAGGAAGGCGATAAATGCTACGATTCTCATGGCACCGTTCAATATTGATCTTATAATGTAGTTGTTTTCTTTAAAAACAAATTCCTAAAAAAGCATCTACCATACGATTCTTTATATAATATCATCAATAACAAGATGATATTCCGTTTGTACGTATGTGTGGAAGAGTTATCATCAGATAAGAGTGCAAAACTAGAGCAAGAATTCGCTTTTATTAAGATCAGTAATGAAACGAGAAAAAACAGCATGATAGATATTAATCATCGCCTTGTATACCGCACATTAGATTTGCAGGAAGAGCTTTGTCTAAATAAGAAAATAAATGAAAATAGGAACTGAATATCGATTTAAAGTTGCAATGTAATTTACCGATTTGTTTTGGATGACTCAATTTAAGATTAGCCATTATTTGAATAAATTCATCTCGTGACTTAGTCAGTCGCGGATTATGAGTTTTTTCTTCAAGTATACTTGAGCACAGTTGTCCTGTATAATGGAGATTTATATGATAATTGTGTCCAGTAAAAACTATAGTCTGTAAATACCAGTATAATCATGTGCTGGATAAACTCTATAATCGTCAGGTAGTGTAAATAATTTCGTTTGAATTGATGTATAAAGTTTATCAGAACTTCCTTGTTGGAAATCAGTTCTGCCACAACCACGGATTAGAAGAGCATCACCAGTAAAAACGGATTTATTTTTATGCGAAACAAAACTCATGCAACCTTTATTTATCAACTCAATTTCGAGGATTATGCTATTTCAAACAAGCAAACAATACTTACCATTCGTATGACCAGGCGTTGCGCGACATTCAAGTATGACTGGCGTTTTACCTGTTTCACCAATTTGAATTACTTCACCGTCTTTCACATAAATATCTGCTTTAGCTCCACTTTCGTTCGAAATAACACTTTTACAATCAGGGAACTTTTTCTTCAATTCTCCACTGCCTGTTATATGATCAGCATGCACATGTGTATTAACTAAACGACAACAACATTCTAAGGATTCTTGCTTTATGCTTTTTAAACCGAGCTTTCAGCTACCTGCATATCTTAGTTTTAGGCCAAGTTGTTGAATAAGTTTTGCATCACGTTCAACAGTATCAACAACAGGATCGATTATTAAAGCTTGTTTGGTTGCTAAGTCAGCCAATAGGTATGTGTACGTTGAAGATTCATTTTCAAAGAGCTTTATAATTAGTGAAATATGGTAATCATTTTTATTGTCTCATAATCTTACCTGGCGAAACAAATACTGTGGTATGGATTTCGGTTCCATGACATAATTGTTTCGCGAACAAAATATCGAACACATTTTTATTAACAATGTCAAGGATGAATAGAATCAATCGTTATCTATATGTGTAAAAACAAAACTAAAATGTAGAAAGCTTTCTTCAACAATCGGCGTTTCTTTTCTCTGCCTGCTTTTTTCAAATATTTATAGTGTCGCTTATCTTGAAGTTGAATACGTTGTTGTCATTCGACGATTATTTGAGTTACAATTATGGGTACATTTGAGGTTAACCGATAGAATGTATAAGAAGTGTGCGCACACACCCGCACGCCGCTATTGAATTTCTCTTGTTGTGATGAAAGAAATAAGAAAAAAAAGCCCCTAAGAAAATGCATGTTTTGTACGTTAAAGACTTTTTTTTGTACTTCCACTAAAAGCATAGATAAGCTAAATCAAATCTTCTGAAAAGAAATATTACAAAGATATCGACGAATTTTTTAAACGAATGCCTTGACGATAGTCAGACTAAATTTCGTTAAAGTATTTGATCGAATGATTCTTTTACACAACAACCGATGGTGACGGTTAAATATTGCGGTTAATATTCTGTTTCAATCAAAACGATCACTGGATATTAGCTACGGATATTTTGAAAAATCGACCGTGGAAATCTATTTATCGTCGTGATATGGAAGAAGAAAAAGAAAAATGGTGTGTACAAGTTCGTTGTTGATCAGTATTTCTCATTTTATGTTTTCACTGTCTGTTAATTTTCTTTTCGTATTCTCTATAATTATTTTAATGCTAAGACAAAAACCTAGGACTCGTATAACTATACGTTGGCTATTTAGTTCTTGTTGATATACCTCACTGCTTTCTGAAAGTTACTTGTATTTGTTGCCGAAATTCTATCGCACCAAATTTATTTGCTTTTTGTGAAAATGATTGTGGCTGCCGGTGTGCTGCTGTAGGCGAAGAGAAAATATCCGTCTGAGTCGATCGTTTTAATAATAACTTTTATGTTTTACTGTTATATGTTAATAAAAACAAGCACCTTGTATATGAAGAAAAACAGACAACAAAAATGAAATATTCATCATAAAGTAGAGTGCTATTCCAAAAAACATCAATTAGCAGAATAAGAATCTATGCTGTGTTTGGAACGTAGATCACTTATTCATACATTATGATTATGTAAACGATATCAATATGAATGGTTAGTAATTTTTATCTTAAATAAAATGCGAAGAATCGTATTGTCGGATAAATGAAAATTGTTGCAATGATACTATGTATAGCATGATGTCGAAGGAACAGTACGTCGCTGTTGTCGCCACCACAAGATTCGATTTTTTACGACACTACGAAACCGAGGTGATAAAAACATAAAAAGATAAAATCGTCCCTACAGATAAGCATGAAAAACAGATGAGGATTATTGTTGGCAAAGGCACTTACTCCATAAACCAGTGAAGAAAAAATATAAGTGATATTGTTAATCAAGTTCTGTTTGATTATTCTATCAACACTCTTTTCGACATTGAGTGCAACCAATGAATAAACACAACAGATGCCATACGGACTGAGACCTATTGAAGTAAGCAATATTCCCGATAAAAACTATGATTGTTAATTGTCGGTCAGCACGTAAACACACGAGAACAGCTGTTTTTGTGTACTCAAAAAGTGAGTACACTACTAAAATCGGTCAGTGTGCCCGACCGGCCGTCCGTTTGTCCGTTTATTCGATAACTCTTCACAATTACATTCGATTGAGCGGACATTTTGTGCACAGAATTGTCTCATCAATATCTAGGTCGAATTCGAAGATGAGAAGGATCCGTCAAGAAATGGCTGAGTTATCGAAAAAATTGTCATTTTTGACCAGACCATCCTTGAGGAGGGGTACAGGGTTTTTTTTAAAACAAATTTTTCTCAGAATTATTCACAACATATATACATTGATTCAGTTTTTAACGCTGATTCTGAATCTGATATTAGTTGTGAACTAAATCGTAGCTTTCTAACGAAGCATCGCCTGAAAAACGTCTGAAAATGTACAAAAACTGCATCCAGAAATCAAATTGTCTAGTTTCTCATGATGATTTTGGTGTTCAGACATTCTAGAATGACTCATATGTCCCATGTACTTTTGACAGTACACATAACTCTCGGATGAAATCCGAAGTTTCCACATTTATTTTAATGTTTTAATAAGATAAGACTCCAAAAGTTATCATACTTAAAATAGGGAGAGCACATTGAACTAAACATATGAAAAGTATAGTGTAAGTAAAAAATGCATTGCTCGTGTAAATACAAGTCCACGTAATTGGTGACTTCTCCAGACAGTATAGCCAAATAGTGACATGTAGCCACCATATGATAACACGTGATAAAGAAACTTGATATGCCTGTTTGATACTGCTCCAATCACGAAAACGAACATTTTGACATGTTGTTAGGAACTGATCGATTGTAGCTAAAAATCCACAAGTCGAAGAAGCAGCACAAAGACTTGATATGAGACAATAATGAAGCTTGCACTAAGCGATATAAGAAAAATCCAGAAACTACTATAGAACCATACGCAGTAACAAATAGATCGCATTCGTGTACAGCAGCAATAATAAAATAGAATGTGCAGAGTGTTTTTCTGTAGAAGGATGCAGTTGTTAAAACAAATACCTGGATAATACTAGCAGTAAACCCAATCAGTAAGGCAAACATACCCAGGAGCGTAAATAGGGGGAGGCGAGTGGGGCGTAACGCCCCCCTGCTTTTGAAAATTTCGTTTTTTTGCTCACCAAAACAGAAAAAAAAATTACGCCCCCCCTGCTCTGAGACCTAACTTACGCCCCTGAACATACCGAAATAGAGCACAACCAGCTCATTGATCAATTTCAACGATACCATTCTTACCTAGCGCCTTTAAATAGAACCAAATTTCTCACCAGGTTCTCTACACAATCGTTTCCAATCAAGATCAGTAATCGTTCATTTATCAATGAGAAATTATTAGACGCTGCTCACTATATATATATATTTACATGCTGTTTTGATTAGAAGAGCCGACAAGAATGCAAAAGACGCTGATGTCTTTATCTTTTATTCTATAGTTTTTCAACAGAAAAATCATATGACAAGTCAAGTGAATCGCAAGGCTCTCAGAAAATTGTATTCTACTAAATTTCAGTGCTATTTCGTACGATAGTAATAATTTTATTTGAAAAAAAAACCTCTAAGCATAAATATGTCGAAGCTACCATCAACAAATTGCATAAAAGTGATACTTTGAAGTCGATCAACTTTTTATTTCTTAGACAAGGAATTATGGTACAGGATTGAATTGTATTGTATTGAATTCATTTATCGATGAAAGAAGGTAATAATGACATTTTTATAAATTTTTTTAATATCCAAGAGTGAAGTGAGTTAATTGACGCCATCGCTAGATCAGTTTTGATGTTTAGAATGTTTGAGAAAATAAGAATACTACTTTTTGACAATTCTAATTAGAGAAGGAAGAGAGGTAAGGCTACATATCAATCAAACACGCAAAAGAAGGCGAAAAACATTTGAATCTAATTTCTTTTTGAAAAAATCTCTAATGATAAATATAAGATAGTTCACTCATTTTCAAAGAAAATTATGAATACCCCTTTGAGGAATAAGTTTTCGGATTGCCCAACCGAATTTTTATCACGGATTTTGACTGGCAAACTTAACTGTCATTGAGTCTGTTTGCGTAACAACCAAGAGCGTAGGGTATCAGCCTCTTTTTTAGTATCTCTGCGATGGAAAAACATGAATTTTTCAATAATTATGATGGATACTAATACTTTGATATTTGCAATTTAGATATTTATATCTGCGACAACTAAAATGAGTTCTCAATCTAACTAACAGCGATGCAACCGAATAACCTTGGGAAATTAACATCGTTGGATAAAGTACAGTGAAGAGAAGAAAAAAGATATTTTACGCTCGTGTCTTTATCCATGTGCAAAAAAACAGATACGACGAGGCGTCCCTATTACTACGACCATTAATTATCTATATTCATATATATATATATATATATCTTCGTTGATTTTATAATCAACGAAATAAAAGGTAATTCAGTGTATTTTGATTGTGCTAACAATAGTAGAAATAACTTCATATAGATATTTCACATGGCTACACCATTAGATTACGGATATTTATTATCACCGACTGGTCAACTCAATATTGTAGAAATCGTATGTATGAATAGTAAAAATAATCTATAGGAGAAAAATGTCAATAGTCTAGAAATGGTTATTTTAGTTTTTATTGATTGGAGCTTTGATCAGTGTCGCATTCACATCAAGTGTATACTGTGAATTAGTTGATCGCATACAATTTATCTACCCGGGATTGAACACAGCGCTTATTCGATATTTATTTCAATCATTTGCTGTACTTTGTTTGACGTTCACAATTATCATTTTGATTGTACATATTTATGGCATAAGATATTTAGGTGGAAATTATTATTATACAAATCAGTTTGTAAGGATTTTATAAGTGTCTGTTTTTCCTTCTTCATTACGATGAACTGTTTTGCTTTCTTCGTAGTGTGTACTGATGAATATTTGCATGGGACTTATCATGATATCGATTGGTATATTTGCAGCATTTTGGGAAGATAAATTAAGACGTATACCTGATATTATTCGACGTGGTTACCTTTCAACTCGATATCAATATTTACACGATGAAATAACACATCAGCGACCATGTTCAGTCGCTGCTACGGCAGTAAGTGATTGTATGAAATAGAAATTGAGAATAAAAGTTCTTTATATTTAGATCTTTGGTATGTTGGCCGGTATTCTATTTATTGTTGAAGCTGGTACGAGGTCAATGTCGAATGCGAATTCAATAAATATGTCAAATCGTTATACATCACCAGCTTTATTTCAACGTGCTCCAATCAAAATTATCAGAGGCGAACGTGTAACGCCTATTGAAACAACAACTGCGTTGTATCAATTTACTCGAGTGTGATATATTTTTACTGGTATCTTACGAAGAGGTTTTTTTGGTAATTAAAAACTTCAAGATTGATTTTCAAATATTAAAAAGGCATTCATTTATTTTATCCGTGGTTTTTTAAATTTTCAACTGAACTGTCTCGACTTCAACATTGGCAGATATTTTTAAGCTTGTGTGTCATTGCGGATGAAAGTGTGGGTGGGCTCGAAAAGCAGTTTAACCCCGACATCTACGTCCATACCTTAGTGTTTTATTTTTGTACAATTAAAAGCAGACAACAACAATATCATATAGTATAAGAAAAGCAAATTAATCATAATTCACGCCTGAAATTGTACTGTAAAATATATTTTTTTGTATGATAAATTAATATAGATGAAAATGAAGTTGGAACGCCTTCCATTTTCTTTGAACCACACTTTTGAACTCTTTTTTTATATGTTTGCGAAGTTGAGACAAAAATGACGAATGCAATTAAGGATGGAATGATTGAAACGAAGTATGCTGCTAAGAATACTGAAGGTTCTTGTACTGATTCCGTGCATCCAGATGCAAAATTCAAGATTAAAGGAGGCAGAGCTAAGATAACCAAGCAACTAGAACTAATAATAAGATTTTTATATTTATGAAATTGTTCTTTGATATTGTCGCTGTAAGAATTTTCGTTCTTGACTAATGTACGATTCTTTGCGATGCAGAAGATGGTGCTGATAGTCGATATGAGTTTAAGTGCAAAAGGAGTAATGAAGTGAAAAATATTAATAAATGAATTATAACTTTCAATATGTGGTTTCAAACGAAGCAGACGCCAAGTTCGTTGTGCTTCTTCATCGTAAATGAGACCTCGATGGATAGGATCGTGCATTAGAGATATTGATATCAACAAAGGAAAAATAATAATTAATAGTTTTGCCAGTTTTTTGCTCTTCATCAGGCCAAATTTGGCATTGAGAATGACACTGAGAAGTCGCTCCACAGCTGCACAAGCATGAAACCAATCAGTGACAGCTAATAAAAATCGAAGAACACATTCAATTGAAATACAATTGAACATGAGAAATATCGAACCAATCGCCAACATGATGCATCCTACAGCAATACCTATTGTGACATACGTATACTGATTGTCTAGTAATGGATAGATGAGGACGAATTTGATAACCCAAAATTGCACCGAGCGAGAAACCAAACTGTCGTGTTGTAAATTGCCGCATTGTGCCATAGAAACATTCTTGGCAGCACACACATAATCTTGGTCGGACATGTTGGATTATCTTGAAAACATCGTGCTTCATTGAAACCCTCAGTTCTCACCCGCACAGTCATAAGGTCATGTTGAAAACAAAATGAAAACAATTCGTCTTTCTGTCTTCTGTACCAAGACATATAAATGTTGAAGAGCAACAGTATAAACGTTGTTTTCAATCTGTGCGAAGACAAGATTAAATGGTAATGATATGCAGAGCGTAACGGTGACTTGATTGCATTTTTTTTTCGCTCGAATAGACGTCGAACTCTGACTTAAGCCATCGAATTTTCGAGATACGATCGATTATTGGCAATACCAACACAGTGAGAATCTCGTGTTCAGACGTTTCTAATTCACATCGGCAAGATTCGGCATTAGAACTTGTTTGTATATAAGTTAATTGTTCGTATCAATGAATGGCACTAGTATTATCCACTAACGTAATTATAATGCCAATGATCATGAACTTATGAAAGTTTTCATTACGAAATCGAAGTGTAAGACTAACACGTTGATTTTGATATTGACAACGATCACGATACTAAGCCGGCTGGCAAAGACATTTTTCGCTCCCATTTTTGCCGTAGTAGATAAAAATACCTTGATGAGGATCGAGTTGCTTGATACTATCTAAGTGTTTTGTTTGAAGTGTCTGATTCAGTATGATCTTGTCTCCCGGTAGGATCACCTTTGTCTTGGGATTTTCACGCGAAGACTTTGAAGAAAATGGTAATTTATGACCTTTATGCTGTTCGCTCGTCAGCTCAAAATCACCCGTGATGCTTTGAAAGTGATGACCGGATAGTTCACCGACACCATGTGAATTTTTACAACGGGATTCGACGCTAACACACTTAGAATCATTCCAGCATCGATAACGTTTATATCCTACTTCTGAATACGTCAAATGACAAAATTCCCTTTTATCTGTTGCTCCAAGACAATCTACAATTCCATCATACACACGATTAAAATGTAAACATCCCACGGTTGGAGTATTTGGAAAGACACACGGATGATGGTCTGCAGGACATTTAAATGGTCATGGATAATTGATTTCGGCGATACCTTTCGGACAATTCCATACTTTATTACAACGTGTATATTGATTTACACATTACCATTGTTCACAATTAGTCTCATCGGTTTCGTTTATTAAAGAATATAATTCTCTTCTACCATTACATTAATATTTCATATCGCCTAGCAAAGTAGGTAAAATGCATTTGTTCCCAGATGTAAACTGAAAACGATATCTATCATTCAATAAACACGAATTAGCTGCGATTGATTCATCGAAACCATTATAACAATGTCGAATTCCGTCCATAATATGACGTTTGAGTATACATTTATTCGTTCCTGAACAACGTAACTTCGACGATTGTGAACATTTGATTTCACCAGCACTTTGATAGGGACGAATGGATGAAATAAACATTTGATAAAAATTCAACTCAGATGAATAGTTCAGTGTATCAGTATGTAGGGTGTGGGTGTGGTAGAAGAAAAAAAGGAGCATACACCCACACTCTACAAGTGATTTTCTCGTGCATTCTAATCAAGATCTTTCTGTTGATTTAAATTCTACTATATCATCGTAAACATCTATTTCTCTGCTTAGCAAACTAATTATTATTGAATAACATATCGAGATAACCGATAGCAGAAAACTTTCCTAGTAGAATTTACTTATTAGTTGATTTTAATAAGGCAATAGAATTACTCCATTTTTCCAAAAAAGGACTTGCTCACGAGTAAAAGAATGTCTGTTTTAATCAGGAAATTCATAATAGTTTCCTGAAACTATTTTCTTATTATAAATATATTTCCTCGCTGAACAATAAGTGCCAACACTGACAACACATTCCATTTGATGAACGACAGCTCACAATGAATTATACTTCGATTAATTCTATTAGGATTATTTTTATCTCGATGGAGAAATTAAAAATATTGATATGAGATTCTTTCAAATAGCAAGCAAAATATGTTTGAATACCTAATATCGAATGATATTATAAGTAGCATCTTTGTATAGCTTGTTTGTGCGAAAAAAAAAGGTTTTCTTTTTCCTTCAATAATATATTTATATAAGTACTCTAGAAGATAACAACGTTAGAAAGATAACTTTCTTTGCAATTTCCTAATAAATTAAGTCACTATGGTGAAACTCGCTGCATCCAATTAATACAAGATAAATATTAATCTACAAAAACTAAAAGCGATAATCGTGAGTAGATGGACAACTCATATGTTCCTGATGCAATTATCATTCTATTTCACCACCATAGAAATCACCGCTTGCTGTTATTAATATGATACAGTGAGAGATCTTGTATCGTTTCTAGTTTGCTTTTCGACATTAAACTCTGGTTGTATTCTAAACATAATTGAGTATAGAATTATCTTTTTCTCGGATTCATTTTTTTCTCAGTTCTGTAAAATGTGTTCGCCAATGATGACTCATATTGATATGCATAGAACAATGAAGATAGATTTTCTCATGCAGATATTCTTAGCTATACTGTTCGATATGATAATGGAACGTATGTATTATTTTCAGCCAGAGTTCATCACTAAAAGATGTCGTTCTGTAGAAGGAAGGAAACCTCATTGGTTATTCCTAATTTGGGAATGTCGAAGAAAACAGCTATCTTATTTATGTAATAATACATTCAGAAATGGTAAACGCAATCGATACGCCGACTGATACATTATTAAATGTATCACCACAAGAACTACCATTAGCTCAAATAGTTGAAAGTAATCCGGATAATAAAACAAATCAGGCTGACCAATTAACAACACAATTGACAGAAACTGTTAAAATACCGGAGGCAGCACAAAAGTGCAAATGAATAGTTTCAAAATAAAACTGAAAATTCACCTTATTTTTTTTGTTTTTGTAGCAATGTGGAGGATCAACGCTATCAGGAGGTAATTGTTTTTTTGCTTTTGATCAAAAGATTATAAAAAAAAATGATGTCTTCTTCTTGTATTGATAGAATTCAAAAATATTGACTGAATTACAAGAACGTATTGAGCGTGCTGAACTTCGAGCCACAGCAGCTGAACCGTTAGTTGATAGGAAAGTAAATCATCCGTATTGAAATTTTGATTTCGTGTTTTAGCCGCATTGTTTCTCTTGAACAAGATATTCGAAGCGCATACGTACAAATGAAATCATTAATTCAATCGAAAGAAACAGTAACCATCATGGATTATGTATGCATTTGTTTTATAGTTGAAGTTTTATTTTAGATACGATCGAAAGAAGGCAATTATCAGAATAATATTGCAGAATTGCAAGCGCGACTTCAAGCAGTAAGATTTATTATAATTTAAATATAAGTCTATGCAACACTGTTTCTATTAAGGCACAACAACGAAGTAGTGAAGCTGAAGGGGATGCTGGAAAAATGCAGCATAAAATTGATCAACTTCAAGGTAGTTCACATGATTTTTAATATGAAAATCAGCTTAGTCTGTTTCATCTTTAGAAAAACTAGCTATGGAACGAACGAAAAGTTCTCAAACGAAACATTAATATTTGCTGCATCTACAACAAAATGACAAACGGCTTATTGTTGCCAGTGTGTGCTGTGAACAACTCCTAGATATCGTTTTTTAATCATGATTACTGCTCTTTTTGTTTTTGACATACAGACAAAACCATCTATTGCAACAAAAGAATAAACTTTCATAACCATTAAGTTATGCATAAAATTTATTTCAGTTTCAACATCGTAGTTTTAAATCAAACCGACATTGGCTTGTTGCCTTTGAACGAATAAGAGTTATCCTACTTTGAGTTTAGTAAGGATAATATTGTGGGAGGACATTCCACGGTGATACGTGCGTGTTGATGTAGATCTACTACTGAACTATAATCACACCTGTATTCAGTCTTCTATCAATAGCAATCTATCGTGCGTACACCCGGAGATTATTACTAAATCAAAGTAAATCTTCATCCAAACAAGCTCGACTTCATGCAATCAAAACTTCCAGAGATTCAATATCATTAGTCATGTTTATTGCGCATGTATTTATGATTCAAAGAATATGACAAAACTTTGTATATAATTTCCAAAAATAAAAACGGTGAGGATGTTAATGGGAAATACTTTATGAGCTTACCTCAGTGTGTCACTAAAGATTTCAATGCCGACCTCTACAACAACAAAAAACAGAGCTACAACCGAATAATCATACACTACAAAGCAACTCATCAAAATAAATCGGATAAATGAATGCTGCAGAGTCTAGCAAAATGGTTATTGGCATTTTTATTACCAATTGACCATGTAACGTTTGCATCTTTCTTTATGGTTTTCTTTTTTCCGACAACAAGTTTGGCATAATCATAAGTTGCAGAGTGCTCAAAGGCAGTACAGAGCTCCGTAAACCTTGAGTCCGATGGAATCATTTCTACAATAGACAAAAGCATTATTTCGAATGAAAAATTCGAGCCAAATATAGAAACTAACTGAAAATTCCCGATAGACCATATGCATTAATTAGTGTTTTTTTCCTTTTCATAAATATTTTTTCCCCATTATCCACACTCATTTCGAATCTCAACATCCGTGAACAATGTAATACTTAGCGTCGATGTTTGAGTATACTTTTGAATTGCCATCATTCATAGTCACTTTGCGTCATAGATGTCTAAACCCATACACGTTCGATCGATTTTGCATTACGATCGCTTAATTGGAGTCATCGGGAAATTCTTATCGACTTGTACACCATCTAATGGGTTATGGCTGCTCTGACTTTCAGCATGCTGTTGTAAATGAAACTTTGTGACTATATGTCACGCGAGTTCCGGTCGACTTGCTTTTTGTTTCATAGCTTTTTTATTATGCGTGAATGTGGAAGTTGATTCGAACCTTCTTTTCGTGCAATCACGTCATCTAAACAACCCTAACGGCACTGATGCTTACAATTTTATGATTGGAATAACGAAATAAATAGATGTAATAACAAGAAATGTTGAGTATATTTTTTTTTCGGCAATTGTCACATATCTAAATTTTAATATTGGCTTCAAAAGTAATACTTGTGTTTTTCAATATTTCGTGAGATATAAATATGTTTTGATGCTATTTTGTATACAAGAATTACTCTATGCAGCACGTGCGTCTTGTAAAAATGTGCGTTCTCGATAGAATATGTAAAAGAAAACCAAGAAAAAGAAACGTATAAAATGGCCTTGCTGCATAGGTAAAAATGAATCTTTCGAAAAAGCAAGGCGCCGGAAGATTTTCTTGATATACTGTATTTTATTCATTACGTCGCAGTGAGTAACTTATTCTAGAATAATACTAAAAGAACAAAAGGCAAGCTTATTAAATACCTCATACATAATGCGAAAAAAGATTTACGTATTAGGAGCGATAGAGACAAATATAAAATCGTTTCCAAGAATCTACTTGTTTTTTTATACGATTGATTGATCAATATCTATTCGCGAGTAGTTTTCTGGATGCGCTTCTCTGCGTGTCTATCTGGCAATTTTATATTCTTTTAATAAGTCTCAATTGGTTGATGATTTCTTCACATTATATAATTAGCTTGCTTTCATTTTTGGGGTATGGTTTAGGGTGTGGGGTGTAGAATTTGAGTATTCTTATGGATCTAAGCGCACCTGTGGGTGTGATTTGAGAACAGCAGAGAAATCTCACGTGAGCTAGATCGGTTATAGCTGTCTGCGCTGCACACATCTTTATTAAATATTCAACCCCACTCCACATCTACAGATACACAGACAAAGCGAATCCAAAATGCTTCGAAGTTCGAATCACACAATGAGGAAAACAATTGTGAGACTGAAAACCTTTAGAGTTTATGTAACGCAAGGTATCAACTACAGTATGTAATGTTTTTGTATGCGACACTTTTCGCTATCAACTATTTTTCTCGTCTTTTCTTATCAAGCTTATAGTTGTTCCAAATTTTGTGAATATTAATAACTCGTCTGTTTTTGATCTTATATAATATGTCAATAGAAGATTTCCCTTGATTCATATTAGTGACGCTAATTAATCATCTATGAGATCTGTTTAGATATGTCTTGGTCTATAGTTAATAGATCAATTCTCAAATGCCATAGCTATATTGTTACTATTAATCTAAAGTAGGGCACATTAAAAATAATAATTACCGCATTCTTCAAATCTTTTCTAGATTCATTATTTATTGATGTATATACAGATATTCATTCACTGAATCAAAAAATTCATACAATCTTATTTAAATACTGTAATAACAAAAATATTTCTCGACGGTAAATTTTAGTTGAAACAAAAGAACAAAAAAATGCGATAACTAATATTCCTCATAGGTAAAAAAAACTGTTGATGAAATTCATAGTTTAATGAGCAACAGCAAAAATATTCGAAGTATATCCGTTATTACTCATGCCGATCATGAAAAATCAACATTCACTGATTTGTTTGTATGCAAATCTGGTATAATTGCTTCACAAAATGGTGATGAAATCCGTTGTGCTTATACAGAAAAAGATGAACAAGAACGATCTTATACATCTAAATCAACCTATGTATTACTAAACGTATTAAACCAATTGTATTTATGAATGAAATGGATCGTGCTTTACTTGAATTAAAATTTGAATAAGATGATCCTTTTCAGAAATTTCAACGTATTGTTGAAAACATAATTGGTATCATTACTACTTATGGTGATGATAAGGGTCCAATGGGTGGTTTAAGAGTAAGAAACTTCAGTTTTTAACTATAATGGAAAATGCATTGATCAACGAAATTAATTTTTGTGGATACAGTGTTTACGACTAACCATAAATTAAAAATTTTCTCGTAGATAAAGACATAGACGATTACTTTAGATTGATCCAACAAGAGTTACAGTTGGTTTCGGTTCTGATCGTCATGAGTGGGCTTTTACACTAAAAGAATTCGCTGAAATGTATGCGTCAAAATTTGAAATTGTGATTGATAAGCTAATGAAACGATTGTGGAGCGATAATTTCGTTTCACCCAGAGAAAAGAAATGGTCAAAAACTGGTGAAGAAGGTAAACTATGTTCAAAAGAAAAAGAATTATTGTCGAAGAGAACATTAGGTTATATCCGAGGATTTTGTCAATTTGTTCTTGATCCTATATTCAAAATTTTTAAAGCTACTATGAGCTATAGAATAGATGAATATACACAACTACTTGAAAAATTCAATATAAAATTACAAGATAAAGATTTTAATGAGTTAGAACAAGATGATAGCACTATTAAAACTTGTAATGAAACAATGGTTACCACCTGATGATGTTCTTTCTTACAATGATTGCTATACATTTACCATCACCTGTTGTTGCACAAAAATATCTCGCAGAACCTATTTATGAAGTTATTTTTACCGGAAAAGAAATGATTGATATTATTTTAAGTTAAGTTTATATATATTTTAGGTCCGCATGATGACGAAATATTTTTGGGTATTAGAGAATGTGATCCATATGACCCGCTGATGATGTGTATTTCAAAAATGATACTAACATTGGATAGGCGTCGTTTTTATGCGTTTGGTCGTGTCTTTTCAGGTGTTATGAAATCAAATCAATCAGTTCACATTATAGGTCCGAATTATGTACCAGGCAAAAACGACCATCTTTATATTCAAAGTATTCAACGGTACGCGAAGTTATTGTTATATTTCTACATGATGTTTCAAAAAATGAGTTGTCTATTTCTCTAGCGAGATTTTCCATTTCTAACCATGATTTTCTGAAGAACAACTTAACAATTGAAACCACAGAGACTAAAAATCATTGTACTTTCTCATCCTTGGGAAGTCCCCTAGAACTTAACTGTTGTTCTTAAGTATTTGAGTTGCATGATGCTCCTGGTAAAAGTCCAACGTAACAATTTTTATTTGTATACGAATCAATTTTCAGAAGACAAGTTCTTCTATAGGTATGAAGACTTTTTTCTTCGATCTTATGTTCAACGATGTGACGAGTTCGTCACCTATAGTCGAAAAAGTTGTAGAATGAACCTCTAGTGTAATTGAGACCAGTTACGTATAAGTATTAGAATCGAAATAGTTCTGTGTAAGGCCACATTGGACACATCTATGATTGTAAAACGAAGACTATCAGTCGATGCTGATAAAGAAAAATAAGATGATTAATGAAATTTGATCCATACGAAGTATTCTAATGGATTTGATTTTAAATGACGAACGCAGATAGAATTATGTGAAACAATACCATGGAGGCAATCAAATAAAAAGCTCACCAGTCTACGCCTATTGTGTTTACTACTGGACGTTTTTAAAAACTCTTTATGTGAAAATTATCTTCGTGTCTGAGTTCTAATTCGATTGAATATATCGGAGAACTGATTTTCACTAAATTTATATTCAGAATAGTTCTTATAATGAATCATTATATTGAACCAATTGAAGATGTGCCATGTGGAAATATTTGTGGTCTTGTTGGTGTTGATCAATATCTAGTTCGAACTGGTACAATAACAACATTTGAAAATGCATACAATCATCGAGTATATTGTTTTATTGAGGTTCTATGAAAAATATTTATTTATTTTATAGATGATCAAAATTGAGCATCACTCCTCTCGTATCTGTAACTATTGAACCAAAAGTTCCACCTGATTTACCAAAATTAGTTGATGGCTTAAAACGTTTAATGAAATCCGATCCTATAGTGCAAGTAAGATTTTGCTTTTGTCTTACTGGTGCAACTCTCTATTAATTTATCTTTGTATTTAAGTGTATCATCGAAAAATCTGGTGAGCATATTTTAGCAGGCGCTGATGAATTACATCTTGACGTTTGTTTGAAAAATCTTGAAGATGAGTATGCTTGTATTTCAATAAAAGTCTCTGGTCCAATCATATCCTATCGTGAAAGCGTTTCGAAAGAATCCGAAATAATGAGTCTACCGAAATCACCGAATAAACATAATCGAATCTATTTAAAAGCTCGACCTATGCCTGATGGTAAAAAAAACAGATTCACGTATTCTATTCGAAAAACTCTTGTTCAATAAATTATGCAGGTTTACCAGAAGATATTGATAAAGGTGAAGTAACATCCAAGCAAGATATTCAAGCACGTGCACGTTATTTAAATGCAAAATATGATTATGATATAAACGGAGCACGTAAAATTTGGTGTTTCGAACCTGAACGAACTGGGCCCGATATTTTAATTGATTCTACTAAAGGTATACAATATTTAAATGAAATAAAAGTTTATTGTGTTATTGGTTTTCAATGGACTACAAAGGAGGGTATACATGCTGAAGAAAATGTTCGTGGCGTGCGTTTTGATATTCATGATGTCGTATATTTTGTTGATGCTATACATCGTGGTGGTGGTCAAATTATTCCAACAATCCGCCGTGTACTTTATGCATCAATGCTTACAGCTAGTTCACGACTTTTTGAACCAGTTTATTTATATGAAATACAGATATGTTTAGAAAAGAAAACATTAAAATTTTTTATTGAGTTGTAATAATTGTGTTAAGTGTCGCAAATTGCTATTCGTGGTATTTATGATATATTAAATCGTCGTCGTGGTCATATTTTTGAAGAAAATCTAGTCATTGGAACATCAATGTTTATTGTTAAAGCCTATATACCACTCCCCAGGTGAACTAATCCGACATCGGATTCCATCGGATCTCTTACGATCCAACAATTCCAGCGGCAGGGATCCGACTGTAAATCCGTTTCTAGGAATCCAACGGAATTTCATTGGTTTTATTAACATTTTAATGATACAGGATAGGATTCCCTCTGGGATCTTATCGGATCCTACTATCGGAATGATTCTTCTGAGTCAATGAGTCTTTTGGTAAAAGAAGAATCTGTTTCTTTTTTACTCATATGTATTGTGTTTGCATAGGTTTTACTGCTGATCTTCGTTCAGCTACATATGGTCAAGGATTTTCACAATTTATATTTGACCATTGGGAAGTTATAAATCAAGTTCCATTTGATGATTCAACTAAAGTTCAACAAATTATTAATGCTATTCGAAAACGTAAAGGATTAAAAGAAGGCATTCCCCACCATTGGATGATTATCTTGACAAGTTGTAAAAGAAATTAACTTCATATTTGCTCTCAATTCATGAATGGACTATGATCAATTGAATAAAATTGTTAGAATTACGCCTCTCTTCTCTTGTTCTATCTGCTTATGCATAGATATAAATGTATATAAGTGTGTATACACGATTTTTATTTTATAGAAATCAATGAAAATAACAACAACATGCATAATATATGTATATCACAAGAACGAAAAGAGAGAGTATCGAAAGAGATTAAAAAATATAAGTTACAAGAAGATCGAGGATAACATATAATATCGATTATGTTGAAGTGCGGCATCACCCTAACCAAAATGGATTAATATCCTACAAAGAAAAAAAATGCGATTATAACAATATAATCAAAATTATAAAATAAAAACCGATACCATCAATAAAAATTGCTTTCTTAACAAAGTCTAAAATAGACAACAACAGTAACGTTTCAGTGTAATCTATCAAAATTCAATCGTTCCGACCGTCGGAGCGGGCATCTTAGAAGGCCTGAAGCGGCTATAAAACAGTATAATAATGCATTCATTTTCATGTTATTTCACCGTAATCCGTCAGCTCGTTCTACGGACCGTTGTTTTCGCTAGAAAATGGTCATCGTTCTAAACACTTTGTTCGCCATTTTTCGAGCTGACGGAAAACAGCGCCGCTTTTCAACGTTTTACACCGTTTTCTTGGACATGGATACCAATCGTTCCATTAAATAGTTCCAATTCTTTTTTTTATCTGATTGAAGCTTCTCTATTGCAAACAGTATATCAGTATTGTGCCACTGCCATGAACAGTTTTCAAAATCAATTTTGCTAAAATCAATTGAGAATGAAGCCATATCACAATTCATCCACTTTCCAACCCACTTTATATGCACATGCGCTGTTCTCGTAAAACAATCATAATTGAGCCGTAGATATTACGTTAGTCAGGAATACGGTTATCACACTATTCAGGGCAATGGATACAGTTATTTTTATTTTTTTGCTGCGCAACGCTGCCGACTGCAACAGTTTACACGCCATATGAAGCCTTAAACAGCCCGGAATGTTCCGTAATCTCGAATACAGTAATACGGTACCTTATACAATGTCATATTACCAATATACACAGTCATAATCTCACTGAAATATGGTCCGTCAATACGTCATAAACAGTCGTATACGTACCGTATATTTTCACCTGGGTACCAGGTTCAGATTAATATCCTAGAACCAATGAGACAAAAACAATTTTTTAAATCCAAACATCAAAATCCATTCTTCTATAAAACGAAATATTCCAACTGTCCATCGTACCATTTATTTCGGATGAAATCAAACCACTAAACAAACCTATCGGCATTGCCATTTTTATTTTGTAATGGTATTATATAATTTTAGAATTATTTTATTCTTCATCTTTTTCTATTGTTCTGTCATGTTGCTTCATCCGACATTATATAGTATTCCAAATTAATAATCCATTTGGTGTGAACTATTATCTTGGATTGAGGTTTAATATGGATCCTTAACAATAAACAAAGATAAGGATTTGTTCACATGAACTGGTGATGACAGTTTTTATTTTGATTGTCTTTTTCACTCAGTATTCAATCGAACGTGCTGCAATCAACATAATTTTTCAATTTCAACCAAATATCTTCTTTAAAACATTTAAAATATAAAATTAATTCATTTACAAAAAATTTAGAAGGTGGGAAAGTTTTTGAACCACTTAAATTTCATTATTGAACTAATGATAATTCCAATAATGTTCATGGAATGTTCTAATTAACACATCGAATATTTGAAATTTACATTCATGTCATTATGATCTGAAATTAGTGTATATTCTTTTTTTAATGAATAATGTGATGATGAAAAGAAGATTGATTCTAGAGATCGCTTTCCTTTGTTTTGCTAATTCAAATATTTTTTATTCTATAATAATGTTTATGTTTACTCTGATAATGTTTTTGATCTTAAAAAAATGCATACATTCAACTAACACATTGTCGCCTGTATTTTTTTGCTTTGTATCACCTTTTTTTCTTGTCACATCAGTTTTCAAAATCATTATATTGGGTTGAAAATGATCGGGTAAGATCGAAAATACCCTTATAATTGTTATACAATGAAAAAAACATTATAATTAAAAATTGACTACATTAACGAATTTATTTGAAAACTTTATTCTAATCATTTCTTTTTATGTGATACAGATAAAAAAAGAACGAATGAAATTGTCATCAAAAGTACTTTTTATAGAATCAAATGGCACTCAAAGTGATCATCTCAGTTCATTATATCAAACTGAAAGTTCAATTAATACACCATTAAGTCATTACAATAAAATTTCAACCGCCTATTATAATATATCATATAAATAATATCAATCACGTGACACCAATACGAAACATATTATGAGTATTAAGAATTATTTACCTCGTTTCAACACCAATGGAGTCGATTATCATCCAGGAAATCGTTAAAAGAATAGCTTAAACACCAAAATTTACTGTTCAGTCGAATAACAGCGAATCTTCAATGGAAATCAAGAAGGCAGTCAATGTCATAGTGCTCTGTTAATAATTCTCAGATGACAAAAAAATTAAAAATAACAAAAAAGGCATACAATAAACTGATAGACTTTAACTGTTATGCTAGAATACCTATAAGCTTTCTATTAATTATATTTCTTCAAACATGCTGTCCCTTAGGTGATCTACCAAAAATGCTGTCTGAAACTGATAGGCAAAAAACAAAAAATGCATCACCATCATCATTGTTATCAGCCAGCACTGAATCGGCTGTTCTTACTAGTCCTCTGTCAGATAGCAAATTTCGCATATCTGCCAGAGAAAAACAAGCCATATTGATAGATCTTTATCATTATCATACTCAAATAAACATTCATTAATACGTAAAAATAGGGATACTCTTGAAGTGTGTGGGTCTAAATAAAGAGCAAACTCACATCAGTCCGAAATTGCTTCAAGAGTCCTTGGCCAAAGATGAAATCATGATCATGGTTACTAGACTCACCCTCAATGTATGAATTTATTGACCAAGTTATATCCTTTAATGAAAGAAGCTTTTAAACGAAAAATTCATTAAAAGCACAACAATATACCACACTTAACTATTTTTAATCATTACAAGATCGTGCACGGCAACAAATGTCAAGACCATAGGATTTAACCAAACTTCCACAGTGATGATAATAAAAAATAACGACATGCTCCATTAGGACGACGATACCAGCTTTACCTGATTCGTCCTCATAATACATGACATTCGAATGAAAATATACGCAATGCTTCGAATTTATTTAGAATATATTTACTGACTGAGAATGTTTCTAAAGACACAAATTGTTAAGAGTTTATGTGATAAATATATTTATGCCGTCAATTAAAATCTATACGAGACAAAGAAAAGAAAGAGGAAATTTTGTTCATGAGGTTTTAGGAGATAGATGCAGATGAGTATGCACGTTGGAGGGCAATGCATGTCAGAAGTGAAAGAGTGTTCGGTACTACCCATGTCGCACAGTTTTTGTCACTACCACTGGTATACTTCGGTACTCATAATAACCGGCTGTGTGCCGGCAGTATAGCGCTTAAAAGCTCCAGTCCCAGCTAAAAAGGCTTCCAGAAACCGCTTTTTGCCAAATCCCTATTTATTTCGGAAAAAGAATTTGAATTAATCGAAAACAAAACAATTTTAGTATATATTTTGAGAATTATTATTTATACAGAGACATCTTTAATAAAATATTCATCTCATAAATGGAACTGATTTGAGAGCTGTGGCTATACTACAGGCGACTCAGGCACATCGACATTATCAGAGCGCACCGAGTTCAACACGATTCTGCCGGTTTTAACAGACTTAAAAAAGATTCAGTCATTTCTATACTATGCAAAAGGATGCATCACTTTCATGAAAAACCGGCGGTAGAGCGCACATTATACCGAACGGTAAACCGTCGTTTTTTCCGGTTTGAATCACATGGGTATTTAGCCTGCATATTTAGTGCATATTAGAGTCTTATTCTAAATCGATGCAATTTTCACCAACAATATCATCAACCTCTCATTATAAAACAACTGTGTAATAATAAAGAAAATTTTAGGTGGTATAATACCTGAAAATTCGTTTGTTGAAGCTAGTCATGAGGGTGTACGAAAAGGTGTAGCGATCAGCAGATCAGTCGGTTGTATTTCTGTGAGGTATATAATATGCACACAATTGACCAAATGCACTTGCTTGGCAACTTCAAAAAAAGATCAAGATATTAAAGTAACATTTTTTTGCATCTTTGAAAAATGAATATGCCCCAACTGATTTTGACAATCGATAGGAAATAATGTTCGTAAACCTTCAGTGCCCAATGACTGACTTGAGTGATTCCTCTAATGTGAAGGGCTCATCAAGTAAGTTTGTAAAGCGTTGAACGGTTAGATTTTTCGCATAAGTCACCGTTTGTGCGATCTATTTATGTATATATACTGTATTAGTTGATTCACCTAATAAGAATAGTTCACTATACTAAAAAGAAACGCTTTTTACCAAATCCTAAAAGTTTTGTATAAGCTTCTCCGTTGTTTCGTTAAATATAGATACGTTTCATGTGGCTCCTACAAAATTACGATGGCTTCAAGCGATATGAGAAACTTTTCATTTTGCTTTTGGCCGATCATCAACGGTTCGGCGTCAGTTTCAGTCCTCGACTTACTTGAAATCAATAAAATAAATCAGGTCATAATGAGAACATAAATGTATCAGTATATATGCGGTTGGTATGGATCGCATTAGTTCTCATTCAAGATTGGATTACAACTGAAAGGGTGACTGTATCTTCGCATTCATGAAATCAACATCCACACCCACGTTCATCATGTTGTTGCAATCAAATAAAATTGTGATGAACACCAATTAAGCATGATAGATGACAACATCAAAGAGCAAGGCGAAATGGAAATTGATGTTTGTTATACTCCTGTTCCTCGATCAACACTTCGAGTAGCACTTATATAAACATCTCAGTAGAGGATTTTAGTATTTTTTTTCTGGATATTATCACTATGTGGAAATACGTGATTTTAACAGTTGTAAATACTAAATGAGACGAGAGCCTAGTACTTTAGGTTCATATTAGTTCATAACAGTTAAAATTTCTCTACAGATTATGCAGGATCCATCAACTTTTTTCTTCAAAATAACGAGATACTCCTAAAAATATATTTATTAGCACAATTCGTAGAAGAATGACTAGCTTGAACTTTAGAAAACAAGAAAGACACTATAATTTGACTTGAAATAATAACAATTCAGTCAAAAATTGTGTTTATCTACTAATTATCAAAATTTAATCAATTTGACTTTCATACAATTTTATTGTTTTTTAATTTAAATTTTTGAAAATTTGTTTCTCGATCTAATAAATTTTTTAGATTTAAATTCGACAACCCTAGCCACACACTCACCCTGCTTTCAAGTGATTTAGATATCGAACCGAATTTCTACAGTATCACATGATAAACAGTGAAGAACAGAATCAGTCAACTTGAGATTCCTTGTTTTTCATTTAGATATTCTGGCAGTCTCAGTCGTGCTTCGTAGTGACCTGACTTTGAGATATGCATAGGATACAATTTTAAAAACAGAAGTTGTTTAGGATTTCTAGAGCAATATTGGAAATATAAAGGATTAGTCTTTTTAGTAAAATAAAACTTAAACAGCAGATTGCCTGATGTTGAGATATTTAAGATACGATAAATTTTTATCTTTATGAAAATCATATAAATTCGAAACATGCGAGAAAAGTATACAAAGAGATATTTGAAATTGATTACATGAACAGTTTGATGGTTATTCTCACTAAATAAATTTAAAAATATCATAAACAATATTGGCAAATACATAAATTTTGACTAGAAAAATGGTTTTACTTCAAATTTCTATTTGAAGAAAGTTACAGCAGACTCAATTGCTTTATATTATTACCATTACCACTATCAATCAATATATATTTCTCTATAACAAGACTACACTTCTTTTTAATTGCCAACTGTAAATGTGTACTATTGTAAACAATAATTAAATTGACTTCTTGTTGTTGCTTTTGTAGAGCTTTTTTATTTCAACACTTCTTTTTGTACATTCTACTGGCATTTTCTTGTTCCTCTTTGAATCATCAATATAATGTTCAAAAACAAGTTCCAGATGCATACGAATTATAAGACGACTACAAAGTTTGGTCTTGGCTTCTTTCAGGCATGAAACTTAATATAGATTGAAGAGTTAAATCCACAGACAAGTTCAACTACGTTTGTCGATACGGTTTTGATTGGCTGACTAATGAGCCAATGAAATTTGAGTTCGTCAAACAAAATGATTTTTTTTGAGGGCGAAAAATTACTGAAAAATGTTTATTTTTTTATTTTTTATTTTTAAGTTTTTATTTTTAAGTTTTATTTGATAATATTTTTTAACCAATCACTAATTGATGATGATGATGATGATGATGGACCTTAACTATAATAATATAACATTGTTAAAAAATCGTCATAAATTTAATATTAGTTTCTAGCACCATGACGGATTTTACTAACACAACATGTCATACTCTTGATCAATTACGTACAGCTGAAGACAAATTAACAACAATGCTTTGGAATGCAGGCAATATCGTTCAGCAATTAAGTTCTGAACAAATTCCTCGTGAACAAATCGAATCATTAGCACGAAGTTTTTCAGATAATGCTCAAACGGTTCAACAACTATTACATACAAGTGTAGCTAATCTAGAACGTATATCATCGGGTTTACCACATGAAGATTCCTGTTATGGATCTTGGCTAGATTTTAATTTAGCTTCAATGCGAACAGAAACAATACGGAATAAATTATATGAATTGAAAAATAATCCGGAATTACAACGAAGTCGACAACGTGTCAAAGAACTAGAAGGACAATTAGCGCAACTTTGAAAAATAAATAACTTTGTTACGTAATTACTTGAGAAATATTACATCATAAATTTCAACATGTAAATGTACCTATGTGCATAAATACTATTATTGATGATTTTCAGATATTGTACTTTTTATTTGCCATCATATCGTAAAACTATCAACAATGCTTGAACATTTAATTCATGTGAACACTTGGTTTTCTAAATATGAAGCTGAACTTGCTGAACAAACACATTTTAAAGCTTTCGTAAGTTTTTAATAATCATCGACTAGGCCCGATGAATAATTTCATTATTAGAGTGGAAAACCATCTGTTACAACATCATGTGTTCAAGAAGTGAAAAAAGAAAAAGTTGAACCAGTAAAACAGCAAGAACAGGTACGACTGGTTTTCCAAAAAAAAGAAAAAAAACTATCTTAGCATGAAAAATCCTTCGCGAATTGTACAACTGTTTGTACCCTATTGTTTTTATGTGTGTTAATCGTTGATTTCCATTACCATGCATTGTTGATATAACCCGTTTAAATGCATGGATGCATCCATATTTGTACATAAATATGATAAATTTCTCGTAAATCTTGCAGGCAAGTCTAAGTGAACAAATTCGTGATGTAAGAAAATTAATTAACAAAGCCGATTCGACGTCAAAAACGTCGACTGAAGTGGATACAACTACGGAACAACGTCTATTAAATGTTGAAGGAACACATAAAAATATTTTACGAATGCTCGATGATCTCAGACGACGTGTCGAACAACTTGAAATAAACAAACAAACGATCTCTCCGGTCAGATATATGCATACACACATCATACAGAGAGAATGAGAAAAACAACGTTCTTCTTCTTCTGTGTAGAATAAGATTTCTTTTTTCTTCGTGTTTTTTTAAGTATGTAGCTTTAATAAATGTATTATTTCTTATTTCAGAAGCCAGCTGAACCTAAACCTGCTGCTGCTGATGATGATGATATTGATTTATTTGGTTCAGATGATGAAGAACAAAGTGAAGAAACAAAACAACGTTTAGCTGCCTATGCAGCAAAAAAATCTAATAGTAAATAATGATTTCTCTATTGATTTGATCTATAATAAATGTTACTCATTTTTTTTTGTTTCTGTTAGAGGTGCAGATTATTGCTAAAAGTACAATTGTATTGGATGTTAAACCTTGGGATGATGAAACTGATCTTGCAGCTTTGGAAAATGCAGTTCGATCAATTGCAGCTGATGGTCTTGTCTGGGGGCAATGTTAGTAAATCGATACATTGCAATCTAGTTGTATTTTATTTATTATTTGTAGCTAAACTTATGCCAGTCGCTTTTGGTGTTAAAAAATTACAAATTGGTTGTGTTGTTGAAGACGATAAAGTAGATTTATTTTTAATGTTTCTTGTGTTTTGTTAAATTTGTTTTTTTTAGATTGGAACCGATTTCCTTGAAGAAAAAATTTGTGAATTTGAAGATTTCGTTCAATCGGTTGATATTGTTGCATTCAACAAAATCTAAAGAATGATTCATTTGTCATTCTCACGTTGTCATCTGAGAATATTTTTCACTTTGAATTTCTTTGCAAAGAAATAAACAATAACATCGACACTATTACTAAAGAATTATTTTTTTATCTAAAGTGATTTGTAAAAAAAACATAGGAGGAGGGAGCGGAGGCTCATTCTGATAGCCAGAGTGGTATAAAGAATTCTATAGAGGGATCCATTCAGAATCAGGGATGGGCAAATCAAGTCTAAAAATGTATATATATTTGAAGGTACCGGATTCACTTCGATTTCTATTTTCTCACTTGAAATGTAATCGAAAATAGAAATGAAGATCAGAAAATATGCTCACATAGTGAAATAAAATGATGGCTCTTAACCGTCGGATGGTCAGTCTGGGTCCAGCAGGACCCACACGACTACTTTTTGTCTGCCGTTACCTAATGCTCCTTGCTTTTCTAGTCAATGTTTTTTCTAATCGCTAGTCTGCTAGTGTTACACATAGACCATATCGTATTGTACACAACAGTTTCAAGAGACAAAAAGTTAAAGGTGGGCCCACTACTGCCCTTCGTGTTACATATGATTTTTACCTATTTATAATCTGCCATCTACCGTTTCTAGATTTTATTTTTCAGATGATTCGTTAATTGCTCACTTCCAATAGTGATTCGAATACTATTTTCATGTGTTCGAAAGATTTTGCTACCTATTGATGAAAATATTCTTACCAGTACTTTCGGTTATAATGACCATTCACGGACTTTCTTGCCTGGAAAAATGTCAAGTCAGTCTCTAGAGATCGATAGATATTGAATTCTAAAAAATGCTCGATATTTTAGATAAAAAAAATGGCAAGTAAGCCAAATCTAAAGAGAAATCTAGATGTTCTTATGATGGATAATATTAATGAACTTGACAAAAATATTTCTGAGGGTGACGAGTCGAATTCTGATCCAGATCATTCAGATGTTGAAACAGAATCCGACGACACATTCACCGATGAATATATTTTAAAAGAAGATGATCCATCAGATTCTTTTAGGACAATTGAGCAAATCTCTTACTAAGTCTTACAATGAGCGTCGTGTTGAAAACGAAACTTGCACTACAAGCCCTTGGATACAAACGCCACTGGGAAATTTCCATAGCTGAAAATCAAAACGATGATCTTGTCAAAAGAAAAAAAAGATACTTTCTTTGTCCGACACATCCTGGACGCAAGGTTATCGTACCGTTGTAATCCCTTATTAAAAGCGTGTCTTAAACTGCCCATATTCACGTCATAATCTGTAGCCCGGTACCGGCATATGAGAAGGTCATGATAACTGTTCTCCATATGTCCATGAATGCTAAGAATTACACAGAAAAATATAGAAGCCTTTCGAGGAGGGTTAAGATATGTAGGAAAAAAATTCTCAATTTCTATTTAGCGTTACATTTTCCAACAATTTGCTTAATGAAGATACGTTTCTTTTTGTTTTAGTAAAAATTAAATTGATTCATGCTTTAGAAAATGATAGTAAACTATAATATCGGTCAAGGAAACAATGTTGTCGATAATTTGATTTCAATTTAAGAAAATTTGGTTGAACTCCAACTTGACTTGAGCCAAAAAATCGCTGACGTGCCCATCTCTGTTCAGAGTGTACATGTAAGCAGGGGTGACTCACACTGGGAGAATTAAATAAATTAATAAAAATGTATTGAACACACTCGTGCTGCTATTTATTTAAAATGATAACTATTAATTACAAACAACAATAAAAACAGGTCCTAAACAACTAAATTTCTACCACCACAAATATAAATCACGATTAATAAATGTAATAAAATAATCACCAAGTAAATTTTCTAATTTAATTAAAAAATTTAATTCTTTTAAACATATTTTCGGTATTTCTGAAATACATAAAAAGAATAAATTTTGCGTTTCATTATTAGATTTCGATAATAAAAATCGAACAATTTGTACTATTTCTTTTCTATTCACGCCAGTTTTAAGATATTCTAATTTTGGAAATAGATTAATAATCAATCGCATTCTTTCATACGAGCATGCATGGCGAACATCAAGATTTTTTATTTTATTTGTATTGGATACATATTGATAAGTTTTACTTTTTGTCATTAAATTTATATTATTTTCATTAAACTTTATGAAATCTAATTTCAATGCATCTAAATTAGGTGTAAAACATAATAATTTCACTATTTCTTCCCAAGGAAAATTATAGCATTCAATAACTAATTTCGTCAGTTGTTGCAAAGGAACGATACGACTAAGACTAGTCGAAATTGAATCATCTAGTGTTTCGAAATAACGTTTAATACTTAATTGAGTAGCATTTGGAAAATAGTTTACACAACTTTTATTTGCTCGTTTACTACAAACATGAACATGTTTAACCGAATTTAAATTATTTTCTTCAGCATGTGGACAAATTTTATCAGCTAATTCCCAATAAAATGTATAATCTTGTCTTCTACGGAGAAAAAATACGTAAATAAAATACAAAAATGGATTCTTTTCTATATACCGATATCGATTTGTCGAATAAAACATGCCACTCTCTAATGATTGTTGCCAGTCATGTTGATGTGTAAAAAACCATTGTTTGCTAATCCAAAATGAAGAATTAAATTGATCAATTAAATCATGATATGTTAATGAATTATTTCGTATAGAATCGCAATGATTCATATCGAAAATTCGTAAACACGGCATATGAATTGATAATAATTCCTCCCATCGTTTAGCATTTAAATACGCTTCATCAAATAATGTTGCAATACGTAAAATTTCAACATAATGAAAAAATGTTTTTAGTATTTTTTCGAATTGATCAAAACGAACATAATCAAGGTTTAGAGAAATGTATTTTAAATATTTCAATTTAGTCGAAGGTAATTCTCTTCGTTCTTCAAAACCAGATTTAACAAGAGTGCTAATTGATAAATGACGAAGTCGAGGAAGACAAGATAGTAGATTATTCAATGATTCAAATGGAAAACGGCCATCTATGATTAAATATTCAATAGGACTTTCATCATATTCAGATAAATAAGCAGGAAACATTGTTTCACTGACTTTTGTTTGAATGATAATTTTACAATATTTTAATTTATGTAGACTAAATATTGAAGAAAAAAGATGACTTGACGATTGAACATATTCTCCAGGAGATATAGTTAATGAATGAAGTTTTGGTAGAAACATTAATTCAACAAAAATTTTATCAAAAGTTTTCATTTTTATTTTATCAAGAATTAATGTTTCAAGATGAATAAATTCCAAAAGTAAACGCGGTGGTAAGAAAAGAATATCAGCAACAAATGGATTCGATGAACGAAGTGTATTAATTCGACGTTTATTCGGTATAAGAATATCATTATAGTAATTTTCGAAATTCGATTTTGACATTGTTGAAATGTTGATTGTCATTGGAAGATTCGAATTCATCATTAATTTTTTAAATCGTCGATTAAGATGGAAAAATCCTTTGTAGATATGATAATTATCAAGATGGTCAAATATTTCATAAAAAATTTCATTGGATAAATCTTCAAGAAGGCATCTATATGCACTAGCTGATTCGTTTATATCGATTATTGAGACTAGAAATAAAATAGAGATAATCAGATTTAGTAAATTTTAAAATCTTACTTTCATTTTTTAATTTTTGCTTTTTACTAGAATGCTGAACCACATGATTTCCTTTTCGTTTTATGCGTGGCATGTCTACGATGTTTAAATATGTCTATGATACTGATCGAAATTATATATAGATGTTTTCACACTGTGCAACAACGAAAGAGAATACATTTGCACGTGGACAAATATACATTATATTATCTGTTTCTTCTCTATATGTAGTTTGAATAGAATAGAAAATTCAATTTCGAGGACATAGATTAAGAAAAGATGAACATTCAGGCCCCATAACTAGACGAAAAAAACGCTGTTTGCTGGTTGTCTGGGTTTTTCATCATTATTTATTTTTGTTATAGCTGTTGCTGATCGAATTGTTTGATGCGCTCTTGCTGTTGGAGCAAAATATAATGCGTTGAATCGAACGCGACTGATGTGAATGAACAACCGATGTTATTTTTCTTTCATTTGTAATGTCATTTGATAGTTCTTTAAGATTATAGCTTCATCTGTAACTTTAATGGTCACCTTCAGATTTGGTTAAACGGGTGGTGGCCATAATGAAGTGAGATATTTAAGACATGTCACACTTAACTAGGAAAAACTTTCTTTATAATTGTATTAGCCAAACATTTTTTGTAACACAGATAGGCGCTTGAATTTCACTGATTTTTTTCGAAAATTCACAAAAAGAAATATTATTTTCTTGAGGATTAGGATGTGGATAAGAGAGGCCGACCCTCAAGATCTGCATTTGAGCAAGCTTTACACAACTAATTTTGATGTGATATGCATGGCTCAGAGGTGTGTCGGACAGGGAATTTTTGTGCTTCGCGGGACTTGTCCTGTAAATTTTTAAAACTCATTCCGCCGATCCTCCGTGGTTTCATTGTGTGAACACCCCACCTCGCCCCGCCGATACCTGTGTGCCAATGGGCTTTGAACCTCCCCGCTCGCCCCGCCTCGTATAAGCAGAAGAAATTTTAAATTATTTATAGTATGCAATTAATTAAATTTTTTAACAAAACATCGGAAGCAAAAGCGTGGGTGGGGTGGTTTCCATTTACTTCATGCCTCTGATGACGCCCACACACTCACCCTGGTGTTAGAAACTATCTTTTGAAAAATAGATCTGTGATTTCAAAGAAATACTTGGTATTCTCCATGTTGAACTCATTCTCCACGCGAACGTTTCTTTCTATGGCAGTTTATATGAAAGTTGAATTTCTATTTTCTTGAGGGTGTGCGTAAAGTGTAGAGATATTTTGAACTGGTCATTTTGACCACCTTTCTTTATTATTGGTTTACTTGAAAATTGTTTGAAAAAAAAATACGAGAGCACTCAAAAAGTCTAGGCTGGTTTTTCGCCGTTACCGGTTGAAACGCTATCCTATATTGCATGATAATGTTTTGTTTCAGATGACATATTAGGGAACGCGCGCCAACACAACGGATAAACCACTTGTTTTCATCATTCCAGATTTTTTCCAACTCGAGGCCAGCATCTTTAATAAGCTTTATGATTTGCTCGTACGTATATTTGTAGCTATCGGGCGTGTGTACTTTGTCACCTGTGATAAAGTCAATGTTCTTTTCAATGTTGTGGTTGCATTGAACTCGTTGTGAACATGAACTTTCTATGACAAGTTCAACACGACTTTCACGTTCGTTCCATATGGCTTGATGACGAAATTGATCTACATCAAAGTTGTAGCCGAATTCACGATTTAGTCGACGTAAGAAATTACCATGAAATTTGTCGTGCAGCCTATTTGTATCGCAATAGCCAGATAATATAATGGCTGGATCCTTAAACATATCAATTCCAAGTAATATTCCATCGCCTGCTTGCAATTGATGGCATATCTTTTCAAACATCATTGCTGCCTCTTCGCGAGAAAAATTGTCGATCGATGCACCAATACACATGACTAAAGTACGTCCAATAAAATTCGGCAGTTCCAATTTTTCTGTGACGTAGTTGACTGTTTTTGGAATAACAAAAATACCAGGCATACGACTCTGCATTGTTGTTTTAGTCATATCAAGTGCTGTTGATGATACGTTCACAGGTATATAATAAAGTGGTTCTGTTTGCCGCTGAGCAATCGCATTAAGTAAAATGGCTACTCTATCAGCTATACCAGCGCCCAGTTGGGCGACCTGGTGTTGATTCTTGCAGGCGCCTTGAGCTTGAGCAGCAATGTCTTCGGCATTTGTCTCAAAAATTTGCTGTTCTCCTCGAGGAACGTAGTATCCAAGAAGTTAACTGATCCGCTCGAAAAGAGATGATTGAACTTACTTTTCGACTAGGTAAAATATGAATATGTGCGGTAGTTGCAAGCCTTTTTGTTAGCAAGTATGTAATCGAGAACGTAAAATAATGTTTTATCGTATGCAATCATTTATTTTTCTTACACGATACTGCTCTTTTTTTTATCTTATTTAGTTTTTCTACCGTGTTTTGTATTAGAAAGTGAAAAACGAGTAATAGTAAATCAGCTTGCCCAACAGGAAAAAAAATATACGGGTGCAATGATCGAAGCAGTATGTTAAACACACGTTAAAAGGAGAAATGAGATATGTCGTCTTAAAATTAGCAGCCATCCTACTCCGGAATGTTCAATATTGCGGAATAGGATGTATTCTCTGATCATTTTAATGTTTACTGTCATCTTGTCTCTTTGCCTCTTTTTAGGGTTCTATTTTATCAAGACTGTATTTTTATGAATATCGTCATGTCTATGCTACTGAGTATTTTTGAGTGATCAAGAATAGCATTCAACAATTATTTGCTTCTTTCATATGATCGGCCCAAGCCAATCTCAACAGAAATCAGTGTTGGCAAACATATAACAATAAAATCTACAACTATGGAGTGTAATTTTGTTTTGCAGACATATCGCAGCAAAAATAACATGAGCAATATATGCTTTGAAGTATGTCAGCAAAAACATAACCAACCTGCTCTTATTCTTCCCGCTGTGTGTCTCGTTATAGCGAGAGAAAGAAAAAGAAATAATGAAACGTTTTTGTCTTCTGTCTTTACTTCTAGAGCAACTATGATGCATTGTTGACGATAAGTGAGCATTGACACCCTTCCAACAAGATAAAAAGTAAGTGAGAATGATATTTTGTCGTTAAAGTTGCATAGAATTAAGTGAGATGTTGAGTAGTCGATTTTCAGCAAACGAATCGAAGATCTTAATTGTGCTTAGTGCAAACCGATGAAATATTGAAAGAGTACTATTTCGGTAATGATGAAGAGAACTATGTTTTTGTCAATGATCGCCACACCGTGCTTCGATAGTTCGATTCGGTATATGTAAATTAACAAATCGTTTCATTTTTATGTATTAAACTTCCAGTGCAGAGGTTTTTTAAAACCAGCGCTTTTACAATCGATATCATTATCAAACCGAATTGAATCGGCAATCTTTTGATCGATGATATCTAAATTCTGAATTTGGTCCGATGTATTCTAAACTAAATTCTTTTATAATTCCTAGACTGGTCGACAAATTTCGATCTAATATAGGATTTATTTTCAATTGCATCCATGACTACCAACGATCATGGACACATTAGTAAGTAAATAATCGAACGAGAAAAAAACTATTTGAACTAATTAATTTCATGATAGATAATCTTGACGAAATGCAAATGGAAACACTCAAACATTACTGGTTAGCTTTGACGAATGCCATTTGCAGTCAAAGTTCATTGCCTGCCGATCAAATTGCCAATTCTGTTTACGGAGATGAGTTATTTTATATGATCGGTTATGAGAATCCGGATGTACTACCACTCCAATGGCTCCGCATATGTAAGTGGAATATTAATAATGCTGTTCAAAAAATGATGGACATGCTCAAGTGGCGACATGAATGGGGAGTGCAGACGCTTTTAGCCAAGGGAGAAAGTGATCTGTCATGTGAAGAAATCAAAACTGGAAAGTGTTTTTTAATGGGCTATGATAAAGCGGGTCGTCCGATTAATTATGTATCTGTCAATCGTCACGTTAGAGGTCAATATCCTCAAGAAACCACTCAGAAATTAACCGTTCTAACGATGGAAACCGTTCGAAAACTTTTCAAGTCTCCTGTTGAAACGAGCACAATTGTTTTCGATTTAACTGGATTCGGCTTGAAAAATATGGACTATCAACATGTCAAATTTTTCGTAAGTCTGATTGAAAATTATTATCCGGAATTATTTGGTCATGCAATTATTCTGAATGCTCCATGGATATTTTCCGGTTGCTGGGCCATCATTAGCAAATGGTTAGATCCGGCCATACGAGATGAAATTCAATTTGTTAGAAATGAAGCCGAATTAGCTAAATACATTGATCCATCACTTCTTCCTAGAGGATTGAATGGCGCTCAGCCTGACTTCGAGTACATTCCGCCTACCGCTAATGACGAAGCTATGGCTGCTGCATTTATCGCCGATGTGGAAGGTAAAACAAACGCTCGAGCAAATCATCAACAAGCGGCTCAGCACTTTTTAAATATTACTCTACAATGGACTCACGATGACACAAATACAACTTTACTAGCCGAACGGATAGTGGCTGCCAAGCGTTTGCGAGATGCATTTGAAACTTTGGTCCCTTATGTCAATACTCGAACTCACTATCATCGCATCGGAGCTATCAAAGAGCAGATCTTTCAAATCACTTACGATCGACTCCATGCCGAGATGGCGACCCATAGTTAATTATTTATTTTGAAACCTATCTTCAATTTGTGAGCTATGTATTTTCTGTGGTCATAAATATTAAAAAGACATTTACTTGTGCTATACTGAATTCGCATGGTGCCAAAAGAAAAGGATTTTTTGACGTTTCAGATAGTTGAGATATACAAATAGCATCAAAATAAGTCAAACGTTGCAGTAATTTTATAGTGAGGGTGTGCTTGTGTTGGCTTTCTCTTCCATAGAACAAATCACAGCAACATCCATATCTTTATAAGCCGATGAAAATTTGACGTCGATTGGTTTCCAATTCTTCTGGTCTAATTTGTTGGAAATATAAATAACAACAAATCTCCGATATTTTACTGCTATGTGACTCTCCTTCGACTAAGGCGGTTTGATCGGATGCTCGACCTTCTATTGACTGTTTTTTTTCTGCCCGGTGCACTACTCCTAATCCATGTCACATGTAAAAATAAAACAAGAAGGATTGAGAATAGCAAATGGAGAAAGCAAGAGAGACGATCGAAATTTCTGGTGGCCAGGGAATGTCACCACTAACATCTTTGAATTATAAAAATCGATAAATATTTCGTTAAGTGTAAATATAAATATCTTCCACATTATTTTATTTAACAGCATTCATAATATATGTGAATGACTCACGAAAAACCGGCTTCGAAGTTATGGATTCTTTGAATTATTTTAAAACAAACATATTGACTAATGTTAAAATATCTATCTACCTAAAAATATGAATACCGACATCTACCTAACTCAATCACTATGAACTTGTTGGAGAAAAATTGTGTAATTAAATATTGAAATCGATAATAATCGAAAACACAAACATGAGGGCGCGAATGTCGATAAAATTAAATACACCCATAACCTTTTTATTATATATTTCAACAGAAGAAGCACAGTTTATATGGCTGGACTAACTAATCGTAATCTTGTAAACAGTTCCAAAGCCATATTTTCCGCCTAAATTAGCTGTACCGTAAAATACGTTATTTCCTACTTCTACCAGTCCTCCTTGTGTCTGATATCCAAACATATCGTCTGACGGAAAATCAAATAATTTCTCTAAACTCCCATCGCCACTAACATTTACACGAAAAAATGTTCCATGATTATTTATTCCTCCCTGAGATGTCACGCCAAACGATAAAGATGGATTAACACTCTGAATCAAGCCATCATATGGTGCTGAGCCAACTGTTGTTTCATTAAATGTTGCTACAAGTTCAATTTGGTTAGTCATCATTGTCAATCCTACGCGGTAGATCGTACTCGGGCAATCTGCTGCTCCCATTGTTGTACCATATAAGTACTGTTGTTGCTCATCAGCGACTAACACAAGTTGTCCCCAAGGACAACAACCGAGTGCCTTATCACGACCAAAAGCATAAACTAACTTAGCATTCTCTCCATCTCGATCCATCTTTATCAGAGTGCCAGCTCCATACTGTCCAAATATTTGTGTGTTAATGTACAATGAATTGTTCACTAGAATTAAATTCGATGGGAATGCACCAGTACCGTAATTGAAAGAAAATAATTGTTTAAACGTTGTTGACGGTATTTCATGTCTAACATCAATCGTAAAAACAGATCCATAGAAAGTTGAAGAGCCAACATCTGCTGTACCATATAGTAGTCCACTGTCATTGTCTAGAAACAAACTATTTGGATTAGCTATATCCGCAAATTCATAGATAACATTGAATATATGATTAGAAAGATTGTACCGGAATATATTCCCATAGCCAAACTGGCTACAACGAATTGTACTGCCGAACAGAGAAAGATCGTTAGCAAAGACCAGTGATGATATTGGGTGACAGCCAGTGATGTCTGTGAATTGGTGTACAGCTGTGAATGTGTTGTTTAAGGTCGTATCAATACGGTAAATTACTCCTAGATCATCTGACGTATTACCTCCATTTCGTGTGACACCGTAGAGTATGCCTGTATTGCCCACTTCAATTAAACTACTTTGTGGATTAGCACCACTGGTGTTTCCTGAGAAATGCATTATAGGTTCACCTACGTTCTGCGGTAATGTACCGACGGAAATGATCGTGAATACTGCTACAATAACCAGCGAGACGAAATACTTCATGTTGTCGGAGGATTTAATATCTTCTTTTAATTCTGTACTTTTCAAAAAGAGGTGTTTAAAGATAGATTAGATAAGAATGCAGTTCTGATGTGTAGGATAGAAAGAGGATGAGGGTGAGTATTGACTGAATTTTCGCTATCACCATGCGTTTCAGCACAGCAACGTGACTCATCAGGTAGTTTCAAAAACCCTGTATGGATAGAAACAGAAAGAATGTAAAGGAAATTTGGTGAAATCCTCTTGTAATTGTTGAGAACAATCCACGGATTTAAGCGTAGATAAAATACAGTTTCTCTGAAGAACCATACAAACAAAGATGACTTTCCTTCGGGAATGGACACTGATCTGTAGAGGCATCAATTATTTCTAAAAATTCACAATTATAGCTATCTCTCTACATTTATGGCTCGAAAATATGTGTGCTCTGTAAAAAGCATCATTGTTGACATTAGGTATTTTAAATGTAGAATGACTGCTCATATTTGTGAGCAATTTTTTATTGGATATGCCTAGATAGCGAGGCGTGTCATGATTTTATGATAAGAATTCTTGAATGTATGTGCACATCGCCCTGAATAAGAAAGAAAGCGAGTTGGTCCCCATCTCTTTTCCATCGTTGTAATAATCTTGAGAATGTGGGCGTGACGTATGGATGTGTGCGACGGCTAAGACTACAGAACAGATAAGCATCCGCAACTCGCAGGGTGTGGGTGTGAGTCTTGAACGAGAGAAGACATCCACCCCCAGATTCGTCTGCGCCCTTTAAAATGGAAATTATTTCTCATTTTCAAAAGATAAATCTTCTTAAACGCGAATAAACTCATCGTTATGAAATTCTGCATTTTAAAATATTAAAAAGAACTAAATTTCTAACTGTTTATTCGCCTATCAAATTATGCGCTGAACAAAAAAAGGAGAAGAAATAAGCTTTTCAACGCAGCCCCGTTGGGGCTAAAATGTGCAACTCACATATTTCGGTCAGTTAGATACTGATCAAATAGAAGTTTTATTTTTTTCAATGTAGTGAGATCATATTTTGTTTCAAAAATAAGATAATAAAACCTTTTTAACATTTGAAGTTTATTGAATCTATCACTAGGAAATATTACTAGAGAGATGTAAGGTAATTGCAAGGAAATACGTATTTATTTTTCTGTTCATGATACTGACACAAAAATGTTGACCTCTTGTTCGATCTATAATATCTATTTTTTGTCAAAAAATTAGAAACATATAGTGATAATTTGGAATATGAATTTTTTGAGTTCTACTTTTCTGTAATCATTAAAAATCAAAATGGCTATATCGAGTCGTTATTTTATTACGGTTTCTTGAAACAACGCATGAGAAACACAGAGTGTTTACTACTAATAACAATCGGTTTGCAAATTGTTAGTATAAGTTTTATCTTCAGATATTCAAAATTGTGAATAACTCAAGAAGATAAAGATATGATAAAATTATTTCAAAATCATAAAAAGGATGGATAATTAGAACATAACCCGAAATTTATACGAAGTTTATGAGCTGTTTCGATCGAACTAAAAATATAGATAAACTTATCAAAGATGCAGATTAAAAACCCAAATTTTGTCATTGAAATGAATTCACACCCACACCCTCTTTTTTTATTCTTCTGTTTCGAAAGACATCTATCATATATGATAGAATAATTTGTAAACACAACTTCAGAGAGGTAGATTATTTCAATTTCATTAGTAGATTCATACGGTGTTATGTTTAGTTCCGCGAGTAAAATTACTTTTTTTTCCAAAAATGTCAATCAATGATGATGCATTGATATGGATCGATTTAGAAATGGATGGATTAGATTTAACAAAAAATTTTATCTTAGAAATTGCTTGCATTGTAACTGATTTTAGTTTAACAAATATTCATCAAGGTACTTCCGTTCTTTATGTTTTTATGTGTATCGATGAATGAAATCTATGCTAGGACCTGATCTTGTTATTCATCATTCAAAATCATTGCTTGCTGCAATGGGACCATGGTGTATGGAACATCATACAAAATCAGGTCTTGTTCAACAAGTTTTAAACAGTCAATTGTCCATGTTTGATGCTGAAACAGAAATAATGAATTTTATTGAGCAAGTAACCTTATCGTCAACACATAAAAAACGTCTCATTCTTGCTGGTAATTCTGTTTATGTCGACAGATATTTTCTTGAAAAAGATATGCCACGTTTAAATGCTTCACTTGATCGATCAATTCTTGATTGTAGTACATTAAAAGAATTAATTTATCGTTTCAATTATCAAATTGCTTGTCATGCTCCAATAAAAGGTGGAAATCTACATCGTGCACTAGATGATATTCGTAATAGTATCAAAGAATTAAAATATTATCAAAAACATGCTCTCGAAGAAAAACAACATATCATTCAACAAGTGCAATATCCTTTGAAAACAGACGTTCGAGCATATCTTGCATGGATCGAAATTAAGACAACAATCATACATTGTATTCTAACGGATAGTAATCTTAATATAATCGATGAAATCGTTGATGGAAAAACAAATGATGATTTAATGAATTTTTTTCATCGAAATAAAATTCATCGAGAACGAACTATTGTTGTAGCTGGAATGTATTTAGGTCCGATTCGAGCTCATCTCAAACAATTAGCACCTCAATTTAATGAATTTTGTCATTACCGATCGATTGATGTTGATGTTATTTCAGTAATATGTGAAAAATGGTTTCCAAATATTTATATACAACGACCTTTGATCAATGATGATGAAGAAGAATTAAAATATTCGATTGAACTTCTTCGTTTTTATCGTTCTAGTATATTTAAATAGAAGAAAAAAACGAAGAAAAAGAATTGTGATTCTTTTTCTTTTTTATAAAACATTGAAAAAAAGAGGAAAAACACTTTTTGCTGATTGTTTAGGTTTCTCATCATTATTTATCTTTGTTATAGCTGTTGCTGATGGAGTTGTCTGGTGAGTTCTTGGTGTGGGAGCAGAAGACGGTGCATTTATTGTACGGTGTATTGCTCCCGTTGTTGAACGAAGTGTTACAGCAGTCGAGCGATTATTCATTGAGGATGGATTTGTTGAACTATTAATTCGAGATGCACGATGAAGGAGATATTGATTTGATTGTTGAATCAATGGCGATGAGGGAGCTTGTAAACATGAATTTAAATTTCGAATACAAGTATTGACTAATTGACTGACGCTGTCAAGTAAAGAAGGAGAACTGGGAAATTTACGTTGTGATAATAGAAAAAATGCTTCAATAAAAGCCGTAAATGGTAAACCTAAAAAACAAGGAAGTTAAAGCCTTTGCACAATATTCGATTGTTTCTACCTGCTGAAGTAGTACGTAAAACAAATTGTTGCCATTTTCGTAGTATTTGATAATAGAGTATATCAATTGTTGGTGCTGTAATTGTTTCATTAATAATACCGCATACACTATGACATAAAATAAAAAGAATATTATCATTTGCTATTACATAAATGATAATTTCAGCAAACTTTGCAAAATTACGAAATTGTGCTCCGGTCATTGTTTTATGCCCAAGCATAATAACAAGTTGTATATAAATATAAGCAATTTTATCTAATAGAAATAAATGTCGATATTTGGTTTTATACGTAAGAGGAAAAATCATTTTAAGTTTTCTAATTGGTCCAACAACAGCTGCTTCTGTTGTTGTTACAGAACGATTTGATGCAGACTTAAGAGTTGATCGTTTTATTGGAGATGAAGTTACCGGATATAGACTACTACGAATAGTTTGATTCGTTTCAATCATTCGTGCTTCTGGCGTTCCACTTTCGTCATCATCGGTTGAATCGATTAATTTTTTTGTTTTTTTCACTATTTTCGGACTTATTATTTTTGATTTTCCATCGAAATGGCTCGATAATTGTGGACTTGACATATATGACCCATGATTTGATTGTGATGGATGTGCTGGCGAGGAAATGAGAACTTTCTGTTGTTGCAATTGTTCTTGTTGTTCTTGTTGTAAACGCATAAATTCTTTTGTGACAGTATCAGATGGTCGCGAAAAGAATGGATTCGATTTTAAGTCGAAACGTGTTTTTCGAGCACTTTTTATTTTTTCCGTACGTTCTTCTACTCGACGTTGAGCTACTTTTTCAACACGTTGAGCCATTAGTTCATCGTTCACTTGTAATTGAGCATGACGTGCACTAAACAACACGGAATTCGATGGTTTTAAAACGCTCGCTAGTTTTCGAATTATATATCCGATAGATGTCGCTCAACCGAAAGATAATCCATATATATCATGAGTCTTTACACTATTCTCGCTACTTGCTTCTATCTTATTACAGTTGATTATGATAGTGTGATTCGATCGATCACGAAAGTCTTTACGTTGAATAGTCGAAACTAATAAATCATACCATCGTAGGTGCTCCTCTGTCAATATAACATTCGAAAGAGAAGACATACAATTATATAATTATGTTGTTGATCGAAAGTAGAAGAACGCTATTATGGCGTAATTAAATATGAAGGTCAATATAAGCGATACAATCATAATATTAAGCAAAAAATATGTAATTATGAAAAATAACGGTGAGAATAAATTTTCTAATTCACTCTCGTACTTTGGAGTTCAATGAGTATTAAGTAAAATCTACTTACAATGTATGTAATTTTTTCTTTGGTAATGCTAATTTAAGTGTTTCTAATACTAGTGGTTTTTTAATTTCTTCATCGATTGGACTTGATTGATAAGTTAACTTTCCTGAAATTAATCGGTGACGTTTATTGTCCAGAAAATAGTTCATTAATTTACCTGCTTCATTTTCTTTATCGAAATCAATACGAAGTGAAGGATTTGCATTAACTTCAAGTAAAATTGGTTTTAAATGATCACTTAAAATAATATCAAAGCCAACAATCTATTGAAGGATTGGATCATTTATACTTCAATATTCATTTGAGATAATAGATTTACCTGAAAACACGATATATTTTGTTTTTTTCCTAAGGGTAATTCGAATTCATATTCAACACGAAGTTCAGGTAAAATAGCCAAAATAGTTTTATTAATCATTTCTGTAATTAATGTTTTTGTTCGTTCGATTTTTTCGGCACCATATATATTCGATAGTTGTATCCAAACTGAAGTTAATTTACGTTTACTACCTTCGCCTTGTTTATTGTCGCTTGTATGTTTATAACTAGCACTATGTTTATTTAAAGAATAATTTGTTAAATGCATATATGTTTGATGAAGATTTTCTGTCGATGGAGCCTTATAACCAACAGTAGCAAACCGAACAAGTCCTTCGTCATAAAGAAAAATTTCCAACGGATATAAATTAAGAATGAGAACATAAATTCTTAAATCAAATTTAAGTCCATTGATTAATAATGGTCGATCGATATATTCTTTGAATAGAAAAAAATCATTAAAAAAAACGGAATTCAGTTTTGAGTCAATAAACCTTGTGCAACATGTTGACGATTAGTAACAATACAATGAGCTGGATCTCGAAGTAAATAAATACCTTCGCCTTGTGAACCATCTATAATAGTATTAAAAATAAATATCCGTTGATTCTTCTCAATACAAAAACAAAATCGAACCTGACGGTTTGATAATAAATGTTGTTAACGATCGATTATGTTTTTTATCTTGTTGATGTATATAGCGTACATCATCTTTAAATTGTTGAGCTTGTTCAGGAAGAAACCACGTTTTTGGATAAAAATCAAAATCATTCGGAAATAATAATCGCATATTATTCAATAAACGAGTTAAATGAACTTTACGTAGTAAATCATTCATGCCTATGGTTCGCACAAGAATTTAGAAGGAAAAACAAAATCTTCGCGTTTTACATACCGGGAAATTTATTGACTCGACCAGAATTGAATGCAAAATTTATATTTCCTTCATGAAATGATGACGAATGCCAATAGATATCAGAATCAACATTTGTACTAATAAAACACTAAAATAAATCGAAATTCCGCAAACATATATAACAGTAATCGTTTGCTTACTTCTCTCCATCCAAGTTCTCTAATACAGAATCGAACAACTTCAAGATTAGATCGAGCTTTACTTGTATCTATAGTTATGAGATTTTTCGCTGCGTTATTATCATCGACTTTTGTCGATGTTGATAGAGACTTTTGTGTTGCCGTTATTGTATTTAGTTCATTCTGTGATGTACTTCGATTTGGTGATGATGTTGATATTATGGGTTGTGTTGTTATTGAAGTGGCACTTGGTTGTGTTGGTCGTTTAGTAGCTGATTTAATTTTTTTATAAGGTGTTGCGGATTTGATTGTTTTCTTTTCTGTAGAATCGTCTAATGGAACTTGACTTGCTTGATCAACAAATACCTTATCTTTTTCATAATCAGCATGGTTATTATGCTTCGTATCAGTGACAAAATTCATACTATTACTTTTTAATATTTGAGTAGCATCAGTTTGATTGTTACTTTTTTGAAAAACTTTCTCCATATAAGGCTGATATTGATCCTGAAAATCTTGATTTGTCATTTCCGTTATGGAAATGTCAGGCATATTAGAACTGTCGTTTGTCATAGTAGTAGTTGTCATTGTTGCATTCACATCAATAGATGAACGGAGAAAAACTATTGAAGAAGTTGCACTTGAACTATGACTTTTTGATTTCGATGATCCATGACGTTTAGTCCATTGTAGACGTGGACGACGTTGAGTAGTAGTATTCGATTGATAATGATTAATTTGATTGATTGTCTTTGGTGTTAATTCAAATTGAAATGTGGATGATGAAGTTTCGGATTGAAATGTTGATGCACTATTTATGAAAAATGAATTAGCCGGTTGAATAAATTCATTTAATTGTTGTTCTTGACGTTTGGCATCATTCTTATCGACTTTTGATGGTTTAATTAATACGGTGTTTGCCTTCGTAATACTCTTGTTTATGTTGTTAGCAGACGACAATGACGACGACGTGAATGAAGTTGTTGTTGTTGCTGCTGCTGCTTTACGATTTTCTGTACAATTGTTACCGTTACCGATGTTAATACTATTTGACGACTTCATAAACTTAATCAACGAGGTTTATTGATCCAAAAAAAAAAGAAATAATACTTATAAGGTTTCTGAAGGAAGAAGAATTTCAGTTGCCGACATCAACCAATGAACAGTGAAATAGGTAGTAACGAGAATTTCATATTGAAGAAAGAATTCATTTATTTTTTTGTCTACTCTCCTAGAATTTATTTTTAATACAAACAAATAATCGTCAAAATAGATCATGTGTGTGTGTGAGTGTGTATTTTCTTTTGATCAATTTCATATTACTCAGTTTTCTTCTAAGATGACGATGAAGAATAAAAGAAAGCGTGTTTTTATTTGGCAAAAGAACAAATGTTGTTATTATTATTATTATTATTATTATTATTATTGTTGTAGTGTTCTGATTGTTGATGGTTGATCGATCTTTTTTTCTTTTCTTTTCTCAATCGATGTCCTCTACAATTGTTAAACAACCAGCGAAACACCTTAGCAACTTGCTTGCTTGCTTGCTTTTAGAGAACGAGTATCGGTGATGACAACAATGAAGAATAAAAGTCGTTTGAATAGAAACTAATTTTATGAACTTGTTTTCCACCTATTTGCTTTACTATTGTTTATTCAATGATATTTTTTCTCGAAATCGGTTTGAAAAAAGAAGAAGTCAAAAAGTTTCTTTCTTTTTTATTTTGAAAGGAAGCAAAGAGTTTACTTAACACGAGAGACCGGAGGCTCGAATAATGGATAAGCTTTTTTTTTTATTCGAAGATGAATAATGGTAAACTTGAATTTAAATTAGAAAATGTGTTGAAATGAAACCTGAAAAGCGTCAATGACTATTCAAGTGAACGCTACTGACACATTAATAATATAATTACGTTCTTGGTACTAAATATACAATAAAATCTAAATATATTCTATTGATATAGAAATTTGAGGCTTCATAATCAAATTAATCGAGAATGAAAAATTCATTGATGTTTCCTAAGGAAAATTTAGCAGTAGATTTAGTCTCAAGCCATGTTATATTTGGGTACATCGATGTGCATATTTTGTATTAGTGTACACATATTGTATCTGATCATATCGAATCGAATTGTTTTCATACGAAATGTTTGAATGAAATTCTAAGCGATTGCTTTTTAGAATATCTCGAATCACAAAAATGATATTCATTTCTAAATTCTATCTGATTGGTGAATGAATTCAGATGATAGTTACATTTAGCGTGGTTAATGTTTTTTCCCAATTGACCTTATATGAACAGAAGTTAGAAGTTTATTTTAAAAAAGTCATGCAAAAAACGCTTTCAATAATTCTTAATTTCTCTCCATTTATTGGACAGAAGTTTTCCTCCATACAAATATAACGCATGTATGACAGCGACTGATCATTGTGCACGCATTTTTGCAAAATCACCCAGGAAAATTCCTCTTTTTAAATATTGATGAAATAATTGTTTAAATTAAAATTCCCAATCAATCTAAAATAAAATTCTAAATCAAATTGAAACGAATGAAAATATTTGCAAATATTTTTAGCATAATATCCACATTCACACAATCAGCTGTTCGAAGTGCATATTTGCATTAAATAAATGCATTCAAAGCAAATAACCAATAGACAACAGCCATTTATAGTGTAATATACATAAAAAAACGTACATTCATCAGTTATTTGAGTCTTGTCTTTCATCCATCGGTCATTCCGTTCGCGTATTTGCTTTCGTCTTTATGACAATATATTAAGTAATAATTCTTATCAATTCTATTTCATCTTTTGCTTTTCATCCTTTTAGATTGAAAAAAATCGAATTTGTATGACAGTTTTTTTTTCTTTCGCTTTACACCTAATCAATACATAATTTGGTTGAATTAAAATCATAACCTAATCTCACTTCGATCTTTTTTTTTCTATATTTTTTGTCTCACGCAATACGTCGTTTTTCCTCTATTATATTATTCATATCAAACGCTCAATCAATCTCTAATATGTTAAATGTCTCTGAGCAACATTAATAAAAGTTTGTTCTTTCGAATGTCCAACGTCGTCTCGAATGGCCCACACACAAAACAGTTCGAACTCCACTACAACTAGACGATCATTACGTTTATTAACGTATGCTTTTAAAATCTAGTTTCTATTTCTATTTCTATTTATTTATTATAATATAGAGCGGAACGTAAATCTACAGCTACAACAGCCAGTGAAACTAATATTGACGGTAGAATAATCTAAAATCCACTTACCTTAATCTAATAGATGTTTTTGCTATTTTTTTTCTTCATAGACGAAGAAGAACCACAGCCAACCGCACGTCAAGCAAAATTTAAAGCACTTGAAGCTATATCAATTAGTAATAATAAGCGACGAATAGAACCTGAATCTGAAGCAAACGACGGTGAACAAGACGAAAGTGAAAAACAAGATTTAGAAGAACATCCAACTAATTCTAATAATCGAAAACGAACACATTCAAAACAAACGTCATCATCGTCATCTCATAGTGTTCGTCATGTATCGAATACTGTAAGACGACGAAAACGAAGTAAAAAATCGGCAACACGAAGTGAGAAATCATCACCAAAAACAGTAAAACGTCAACGACAGTTATCATCGGACGAAGAAGACAATCGATCATTGAGTAATTCAAAATCAAAAAGAAATTCTGCACCTGTTCTACCTGATCGTACACGTTCAAAATCAAATTTAAGAAAACGAAGTAATTCAAATAGTGATTTAGAACAACAAAGTGAAGGTCCAGACACGGGGAATCTCTGTGTTCGACGTGGACAAGGTTTTAAAAGTCATCTCAATTTTTTTCTTTATACGAAATTTTTGATTCTTTTTTTTCAAAGGCGAGCGAGAACTTAATACTGTCGTAAGTGACCCTGCAACTACCCATAGTCGACGATCACGCGCAAGTGCTCATCATCGTCGATATTCAAATAAAACACCGATTGACTATTTGACAACGGGACAATCATCGTCTAGGTAATAATTTCTTCAAACATTGAAATCCTTACACTCGCGCGAATTTAAACCCACAGATGATATCATATCTCTACAAAAGGTAATCTGTAAATTCACAGACGATGAGTCATTTCCACGTTTTCTATGGTAATTGCATAAATATTAAGAAATTTCATATTCAAATATAAGCTAAGCGGAAAAGTCAAATTTTTCAAAGAAGCCTATTTGTAATTAATCTCATGAGATCTATCAAACCATATCCAAAAACTATCGCGTGGCTATCAAAATGTCAGTATATGATTTGGATATATGTACTGTATATGAAGGTTATTGATGCAACGAAATTTTAATAAAAAGAAGAAAGGGAGTAGAGAGAAACGGCATTTATCAATGTGTTGTATGAATACAAGTAGCCTTGTATATACACAACATGAGACATTCTTCTCTATTGCCTTCCAGTTAAGGACGGCGTCTTTTTCTTTTTGTTTGCCTATGTATACTGGGGTGTGCGAAAAAAATTCTTTTCTCTCTCTCTCTCTCTCTCTCTCACATATGACAATCTGATTGCTTTGTGAGACCTAAAAGAAAAGAAATCACTAAATTAACACATTCTGTTTCCTTCTAGTCGTTCGTCGGTGCCTGTCACCAACACCGGCGGTATTGACGGTCGACCGTGTGACTCACATAGTAGTTTACCGTCATCGACACACCCTTTACATTTATTCAATTCACCTGCATATTATCAACAAACTGCATCACCTCCACCATCATCATCTGCTCAATCGTTTTCAGGCGTTGTTCCAACTGCATCTTATAGTACCCCGTTTCTAGCTAGTGCAGCAGCTGCAAGTTCACATCGAAATACTAAATCAACATTAGCGATGTCAACGGAAAGTGATACCGATCCAGAGAATAATGTCGGACATACGAGTGAATCACCACGTGATGTTTTATCTGATCCAGCATTTGCGCGTGCTGCTTCTGCCGCCGCCGCCGCCGCCGCTGCTGGTGGTGGTGGTTCAACGAGTGCAGCACTTTTTCATACATTATCAGGTCGCGTTCAACATTTGATGAGTCGAGTGGGCGGAAGTAGTTCACTTAATGCCATCAATGGACGTTTACAACAGTATATTCAAGGAATACAAGTAAGATGAAATGCATGAATATTTCTATGAACTTTTTAAAAATTCTTCAGTCACCTGATCCTGATGTACGATTAACGACACTCAATGAATTATGTTCTGTAAGTTTTGAAGAAAAAAAACGATAATAAAGAATTCTATAGAATGTGTGTTCTTTTATAGCTTCTTGTAATGAGCAATGAAGAAACATTACCCGGTTTTCAATTTCGTGTTCTCTATCCACCCCTACGTGATTGTCTAGCTGATGAAAATGAAGCCAATGCTGAAATAGCTTTAACAGCCTGTCGAGCATTAACTTATCTCATGGAAGCATTGCCACGATCAGCAGGACAAATTGTTGAAGCAACACCAATATTTTTAAGCAAAGTAAGATTTTTCTTCTTCATATCTTATTCTCTGTTTTCTTTTTACTATCGTAGTTACGAAGTATAACATCGATTGATATAGCCGAACAAGTTTTAACAGCATTAGAAATGATTTCGAAACGTAATGGAAAACAGATTCTTATTGCTGTAAGATTTTTTTGAATTAAAATTTTTTTCGGAAGAAAATTTTCGTTTTTCTCCATTAGGATGGTATTGGTGCTTGCCTTGAATATATTGAATTTTTCTCTATAACATCTCAAAATAAATCTCTTGCTATTGTTGCCAATTGTTGTATACATATATTGTCACGTAATGATTTTAATCATATTCGTGGACATTTAGAAAATCTCTCCAATCGTTTACGTTCGGATGATAAAAAAACAGTTGAACATGTTTGCTCAATATTTTCACGTTTAGTTGAAAATTTTCATCGTGATTCGTCCATATTACGTGAAATAGCATCAACACAACTACTTAAAACAATGCAAACCATGCTTGTCGTACAGCCGTCATTATTAAATAGTGTAACATTTGTTAGTATAATTCATATGCTTTATATTTTTTCGGCATACTGTCCAATTCTTGCTGTTACTTTACTTAAAATGAATATAGCCGAAATAATAATGTGTCTTTTAACGGGTTCAAACGAAGGAAAATCATCGACAAAATCAATTCCTATAACATATAAATCAGCGGCATTATCAACAAATGAAACAATACCCATGAATGTTTCATCAATACAGCCAGTCAATAGTATTGAACTTATACCGCGTACACCACAAGAACTATATGAAATTGTTTCGTTAATCGGTGAAATGATGCCACGTTTACCAACCGATGAACCATTGTTTCAAGTCGATCAACTATTTCGTCGTAGTGCATTGACACATAGAGCATATGATGCTAGTTCACATGGTTATGTTCTATGGCATTGGCAAGATGATCAAGGTATTGTGATAAAAATTTGATTTATTTTCTTGAGCTAATGAATAAAATCCGAATTGATAAACCAATTGTAGTTGTAATCGCTTACTATTTTCGTAGACGACTTCCGTCTACGTTCACCATACTAAGCTCCTGGAAAGGTCAAAGTAAAATCGTATAATGATGAGTTTTGTTTTTCAAAATTTCTATGACATGCGAAAAATTTTTATGTGGGAGAGAAATTCTAACACAGTAATAATTATATTAGATTGATTCGTTTTATTATTTGTTTTCAGGTCAATTACGTCCATATTCATTACAAGATTCACGTACGATTGAACATGCATGGCAACAGCATGAAGAAGAAGTTCAATTAATGATATCCGCTCGTCATTATCTCATCGATTTACAGCAACTACAACAAATTAATGAAGAAACCAATCAAGCTCGATTTATTAAACGTATTGTTGCGCCTGAAACAACCGACTCTACACCTGAGTATGAGAATACCAAATTTTTATTAAATTTAAAAACAAATAATTTCATTCTTTTAGATCCATCGATGAATCAACAAATACAAACAATCGCCAATTAACAGCAGCAACAACAACAGCAAATAGTTCAGTTGATGCACGAACTGAAATGATGAAAGATAATATGGAATTGTATAGTTCATTTATACAGTCATTATTTACTGTTCTCTATGAGGTTTATAATTCATCGGCTGGTCCGGCTGTAAAACATCGTTGTTTACAAGCAGTACTTCGTATGATCTATTATTCTCCGTCGGATTTACTTGAAATAATCTTAAAACAACAATCCATATCGTCACATATCGCTTCCATGCTTGCATCATCCGACTATAAAATAGTTGCAAGTGCTTTACAAATGGCTGAAATTTTAATGAAAAAACTACCACAAATATTCTCCATCTATTTCTATCGTGAAGGTGTTGTTCATCAAATTGAAATTCTCATTGGTTTTGGTGTCACATCATCTGTATCTTCAGCTTCGAATGCATCTTTAGCTCGTCATAATCATACAAGCGGAAGTCGTAGTCAACTTGATCTTGCTCATTTAAATGATAATTCTTCACTATCACAAGTCGAATCTATCGATGAACAATTACGAAAAGCGAATCCACGCCGTTGTTATACAACGACCGAAACACATGCAACAACACGAATTGAAACACGTTCACAACGTGGCCGTCTACCGAAAACATCAGCTCGTTCCATGTTCGAAGAATTCTCATCAAGACCTATAGCAAATCGAACAGCCGGTGCATCATTTTCAACGGGAACTCTTGATATTAATTTTGGCCGTGGTCGTCCAACACGTGGCCATGTTGCATCCCCAGCAGCTCTTTTTCGGCCAACATCAAGTTTCGATCCATCTACGTATTATCCTCGTCCGCCAATGTACGTCCCATCCCCATATGCATATGCGTCTAGTGTACCAGCAGCTGCCACATTAATCAATCCAATCGCAGCAGCAACCGCACCTCCTCAACGACCATCTCAAATGATTTTATCATCACAAGAAAAAGCTAAACTTAAAGAATGGATACAGAATCAAGCAAAACATTTTCGTTCAACTTATTTCTCGAATAACTCGTCAACATCAAATACCGCATTACAAATAATTAATCGTCTGGCAGCCGCTGTTGATATATTACATATTGGAAAAGATCAACAAGAAAATGCCAAAGCTTTACGTGATATAGCGAATATCATAGCAAAAGGTGATGTATCCCCGTTTGAAATGGTACATACAGGATTAATAACGAAATTATTTCAATATTTAACCGATGATATAACAATACCAAATGATAGACCCGAACGGTTAAAACAATTTTTAAATATTTTTATGAATATACCATTAGAAAACGAGCAAGACAATGAAACAACATTAAAACAATATATTGTAGAACTTCATCATTCACAAATCAATCAGGGCAAAACGCATCATCATAGAAATGAACATAATATTTTGAGTCATCTTATTAATAAATTACATGGATGTATTAATCAACTTGAACAGTTTCCTATTCGAAGTAAGACATTACTTTTGATAATTTTTTGGGAGATTGAAAAAATAAGACACGACTAAATATGATTTCTCTTTAATTTTTAGTCAATGATATTGCTGGTCGACCGGCACATAGCTCAGCGCTTCGTCTTATTACAACACATCAATTAAAATGTAATCTTGTTCGTTATTCACAATGTAAAACACTGAAACAATGGAATAGTGGTCCGGTGAAAATAGATCCACTTGCACTGGTGTCAGCTATTGAAAAATATCTACTTTTACGTGGTATTGCTCATAGTACAATCGTAAGTTAAAGATCTGACCCAATGGTTTAGTTCAATCCTATGAATAAGTTCGAGTCTACTACTCATCGGAGAAAATCAAATATTTCTGTTTGATAAATTCATTTAAAGAATCAAACATTTTCTCCAATAGTAACATATGAAGCATCGTTGATCACCATTGTTTATCAGCGATCTATGATAATAAATGGGAAAAAAAGTTTATGCTACAAAAGTTCACTTTTTCTTCTTCTCTGTTTTAGGATGATCCATCGAACGCACTCGACGATGATGAAAGCGAAGTATCCAATGAATCCGATGCTGACGATGTTATTAATGTTTTAACTCGTTCATCAACAATGAGACTTGAATTTTTAATTAACGATCACATTATTCCACATAATATGACCATCTATCAAGCCGTTCGATTATACAGTGTGCCAACACAACGTACAGCGTAAGAAAAATATTTTCTGTGTAGAAGCAGTCTTACTCGCATTTCTTGCATAGCGAAGAAGAAATTAAAACGATTACCAGACGCCTTAGTAACCGTTTTTTTTCGCTTTGTTTTTAGTGATAATGAATCTGAGACTGATACAGATGAATCGATATTTTCTTCGTCATCAATTTGGACTCGTGTACATACAATAAACTATCGTCAAGCAACAAATTCTTCGTCAACAGTAGCAGCTGTTAATGCAGCAATTGGTGCCGCTAGTACAACAACAACAACAACAACAACAACATCGTCGTCGAATCGTATGCGACGTAGTGTTAATGCACAACAAAATCCATCGAAAAAAACGATAAAAACTTTCAAACGTTCATCAACTATTTCAAATATTGATGACCTATGGTTAAACGGACAATGTAAAGAGTCGAAATCATTTTTAATCTCAACATTAGACGAGTCCTTGTCGTCAATATTAACCATAAACGATTTGTCGTTAAATGCAATATTTCTTCTTCGAATATTACACGGTTTAAATCTCTATTGGTATGATCTTTATATTCAAACGAATGCAATGTTCAACCATCAAAGCTCAACATTAACATTAATATCGAAAAGTGAATTTCTATCAGCAAAATTAACCTCAAAAGTCAATAGACAATTACAAGATCCAGTTGTTATTATGATGGGACAAATACCATCGTGGATAACAGAGATGGGCTATTCGTGTTCATTTTTATTTCCATTTGAGACTCGACAAATGCTTTTTTATCCATGTGCATTTGATCGCGAACGTGCAATGCAACGGCTTTTAGATAGTTCAGATATGTTAACACAACAGCATAATAATGATCAAACAGATAGGCAATCAATTATACCGAGAATTGAAAGAAAAAAAGTACAATTATCTCGAGCAAATATTCTACCGGAAATGGAGAAAATTCTTGATAATTGGAATTCAAAACATTTTCTTGAAGTTCAATACGAAGATGAAGTAAAATAAAACAAAAACAAAAAAAGTATTTTTATCATTATTTTTTCTTCAATTTCAGGTTGGCTTTGGTCTTGGACCGACACTTGAAGCCTATTCATTGATATCGAAAGAATTACAAAAAAATGGTTTAGAACTATGGAGAACGGACAGAATTTTCGATTCAACAAAAGGTTAGTTTTTATTCACTAAAATCTTTATCGGAGCGGAACTAATCGTACTCATTTTTATTCTATGTAAATAAAGATGCCAGTAGTCTTTCCGAGTATGTTGATAGTCGTTATGGTCTTTATCCTGCACCGATTGGCCGTAACACGAAAGCTAATGCAGTAACAAAAATTCGTCAAAAATTCAAATTTATTGGTAAATTTATGGGCAAAGCACTGATGGACTCGAGAATGGTAACTCTTTCTATTTTATTTTTTAAAAACAAAAACTCATAGTCAAATGATTTTCTATCTATTAGATTGATATGCCATTTAGTGTTGTTTTTTACAAGTGGATCTTAGGTCAAGAAGAAACATTGAATCTTGAAGATCTTATTCACGTTGATGCTAATCTATATGAACAATTTAAAAAATTACAAACTATTGTAAACATTCGTAATAGATTAATGATTCAATGTTATGCATCAAATCAGCAAATATTAAATAAATCAAATAATAAAAAGAATTGTAAATCAAAAGATGATTCTCAAACAGAAATTTTAGCAAATGTGAATCTCGTCGATGAAAACGATGAGAGGTTATTACTTGATGGTTGTAAAATAAGTGATCTATCATTAGTGTTCACATTACCCGGCCATCCAAATATTGAATTGAGAAAAGGTGGAAAAGATTGTTTAGTTACAATCGAAAATCTTGATCAATATATTAATGTAAGAATGGAGAAAAATTTAGATTAGAAAAGAGAATATTTTTTTTTGTTTTTAATTTAGTTGGTTGCCTATTGGACGCTAGTCGAAGGTGTTCGACGACAATTTGAATCATTTCGTGATGGATTTAATTCCATATTTCCTATTCAACATTTAAAATGTTTCTATCCTGATGAAGTATGTTTTTTTTTTCGTGAAGAAATATATTCAAATGATCTAATCATTCATTTTTGTTTTATTTAGCTTCATCAAGTATTCTGCGGCAGTGGATCAACAGAACTATGGGATCTTAAAGTTTTGGTTGAATCGACTCGTTGCGACCATGGTTATAATTTAAATAGCCGAGCTGTTAAATGGCTTTTTGAGATTATGATTAATTTTGAAATCGATGAGCAACGAGCATTCTTACAATTCGTTACTGGCAGCCCAAGATTACCTGTCGGAGGTAAGTCTATTGGATATTTTTGATAAAATTTCAATCGTATAAACATCAGCTATTCTCAATATACAATATCAGATTGAATGCGAAGCATAGGTCCCTTGCAGAAAAATATTTGTTAGATTTTGCTAAACATTCGACTACAAATTTATCTTTTTTGTCTTCCGACAATCAGCATCACACCAGTACCTTAGACATCATTCGCATCCCTCTCCTTGTTTTCTAGGTTTCCGAATGTTACATCCACCATTAACAATTGTACGAAAAACAGCTGAAAATAGTAGTGATAATAGCAATCCAGATTCATTTTTACCAAGTGTAATGACCTGTGTCAACTATCTCAAGTTGCCTGATTATACATCACAAGAAATAATGAAAGCAAAATTAACAACAGCAATACGAGATGGACAATATGCATTTCTACTTTCCTAAACATCTGTTCGTTTTCTTGTTTGTACAGAGAAAAAAGCAAACATATAATATACATATATATATTAAAAGTTCTTCGGTGTTTATCTACGTTTCGTTCTTTTGTTTTTGTTTTTCATTTTCGATTGTTTGTTTGCACACTGTAATAAAAACTACATGCACCCGAGAAAAGAACTAACACCTTACTAGAAAATAAAACCAAAGTATTCGATGGCAGAGTTGCTCAAAAAACAGAAAAAGATGGGGAAAAGATAAAGATTTGTTCTGTGTAGTTTTTTTTTTGTTTTTGTTTTGATCAACGTTTATTTGTGTGTAGCTATCGTTCATTTTTCTCTTCTATTTGGCCATTTATTACTCTATTCCTTTTTATCGATGTTAAACTTCTCTAGTTTTTTTTCTTCTTTAATTATATAAAACAAAAAAAAACCATCAACCAACGACAAACATTGTCTTATTCGAATAAGTACCTATGAATTCTAGTAGATTTTTTTTGGCGTTATTCTAGATAAATATTTCGTTCAACTTCGGATTATACGAACGAATTTATAGACATACAAAATTCATTATTTTTAAAGGTAAGATAATATTTTTCATTGGAAGATGTTTGATTCGGCATAGGTGGATTTATACTTAAATTCAGCATTTCCCTTAACAGAGCCCATTTAATTCGTTGTAATGAAAATTAAAATCAGGCTGTTAATAGAGTATATTGCATCTACTGTTTTACCGAATTTTTCAATAAGTTTTGTTTAGAGACGTGCGGGACAAACTTTGTCCCGTCCCGAATTTTTTCGAATTGTCCCGCAAAATCCCGTTGTCAAAAAAATGTTTAAGTACTGCGTAATTCCGTCAAAGAAAACAAAAGATCTTTTCTACCTGATCAATAGGAAAAAAGAAGAATGAAAATTTATCAAAAGAAATTGGTCGAGAAATTTATAGATAAAAATAAATTTGTTTTTATCAAAAATAGGAACTCGTACTTTGAACCCTGCTCGAAGTAAAGAAGATATTTGAGAAAAATAGTGCTCTCCTGTTTCCATAGTATATTAACTTTTTATATAATCGACGAAGAATATTTTAATCCAATCATTATTAGATCAGTCAAACCGAGCTTTTTGCGATAGATGCTATTTAAAATGTATTAGCTTATTTGAGGTAATGCATGCCTATAATAACTTCGATATATCTGGCACACATGTGCTCTCTTTTATATCAACAATTAGTCTGTCATTGTGTGAAAATTCTTTTCTTGTCGTTATTTAGCTCATCACTATCAACTGCAAGTTCTACTTAGAAAGTGTTTTTTTTTAAATTAAATTCGCCTAATTTTCGTATCGATTAATTTTCATACACTCGGAAAAGTACATACACATTTATGTACAGACAAAATTAATAATTTGTTATTTATTAAGAGAAATATGCGAGTTTTAAATGAAACCTATTCTTTCGTTGTTCAAATGTATAAAGAAAGAAAACTCAACTGACTCAACACCTGTAACATCAGAAAAAAATTAAATTGACGACAGGAAGTCAATAATTATATGAAGAAACAGCTGAAAAGATAATGATGATGAACAGTTTTCAGTACATCTTCCAATATTTCTTTTTTTCTGCTTTCCATTTAAACATTAAGATGTTTATTATAAATAAAAAGTTTAAAGTGCATCACACGTTTTTATGTAATTTTGAAAATTCGGGACTGGATTTTTTTCGAATTGTCCGCAAGGCTCTAGTTTTGTCACAACAGATGCAGAGCTTAGTTTTAGAATGCTGTCATGCCCTTGCGAAACAAAATCGATGAGCAGGTGGGCCAGAAGGATTACCATACTTTTTACTTTCCATGCAGCTTAGAACAAGAAAACGATAGAATACTGAAAATCTACTAATCTCATTCTGTAGGAATTTTAGAGTTCGAACCATAGAAACAAGACGCTAGAAGTTGTTTTACAAATTCAAGATTCTATCTTCTTCTACACTGAGATATATACATTTCTAGATGAGTCAAGCACCAAATCCATTTACTCAAGCAGCTAGTCAAGGTTATGGTGATTTTGCAGCAACGTTAGATGACGAAGATCAAGATGAAAATAATGAAGAACAACAAATAGAAGATGAACTGGAAGGACCCGAATCACCTGAACCTGAAGAACAGGAAACCGATGAAATTGGTTCGTATAATTTATCGATTTAATAATAGATCAAAGCAATAAAAAAACAAAATTTTATATTTAGGTTTTACTCAAACTCAAGAACGTTCGTATCCAACTGGTATTGAATCGCCCGATGAAGATGAGAATGAGGAGCAAAATGAAATATCTGATCATGAACCAGAACAAGAAGATAATGATGAAGAAGCTGGGCCTAGTTCACCACCAGCTGAAGATTCAAACGACCAACAACAAGAGGTGAAAGAAGAAGAAGGAGAAGAAGAAGAAAAGCAAGAAAGTGAAAATGATGAAGATTCAAATAAAAAACAATCTCAATCACTTCGTCGAGTAAAAATCATGGACGATTCAGATAATGATGACGAACAACCAACTGAATCTACTAGCACTGTTAACAAAGATAAAAATCGTAATTTTCTCAAACAGATGACGTGAGCATTTCAAGCAATTTTCATACTTATTTATGTTAGAATAACTTTTTCTAGCATGAAAAATGATGAATCACAAAAGAAACACAAAAAGCGTCGAAGCGATGAACATCATCATCATCACCATCATCATCATCATGAACATAAATCAAAGCGTTTCCGAAAAACTTCAAATGATGAAGAAGTTGATCAAACTGAAGAACCTGAAAAAAAAAAAACCAAAACTGCTGAAGCCACGTATGTATAGAACTTGAATTTTATACCCTTTTGGTGGCTGTTTGTGCTCGATTAGAGTCAGTCTGGGCGAAAATTACTAAGAAAAAATTCACATTTCAAATGTACACTATCCCAACCTAGATACCAAACGTGACTTACGATTGAAAGCTTTCTTGTTATGATGTATGATAGAATTATTTGTTCTTTAGTTCTGATGTTGAAGATGTTGTGGATGATATATTTGGAAACGCTGTAAATGATAATGATGTAAGAAAATAATCTTTCTCTCTCTCTGTTTTATTTTTAACTTCTAATCCAATCAATTTTTAGGAGGAAGTTGACGATCGTCAAGAAGCTGCTGCTGAATTAGCAGATTTAAATGATGACGAAGCTGTACAAGAACCAGAGGAAGAAGAAGAAGAAGACGAAGACAATAACGAAGAGCAACAAACATTTGACACCCAAGAAGAAGACGATGAAGGTACCTTAGCACGTAAGGCTAGTAATGCTGCTGCAAAAAAGTATGTAAAAAAAATACTTCTTATCGAATTTTCTTATGAATTTATCTTTGCAGTAGTAATATTACGTATGATATTGATCTATACTTGGAAAGAAAAGCTGAAAAACGTCGTGGAAATCGTCGTCGTGGTGGAAAAAATGGTGATATTGATTTAGGTCCCGATGATGATCAATTTGTATCAAAGTTGATTGATCAAATGAAAATAGCCACTGAAGAAGATCGAATATTTAATAAAAGTCGACAACCAGCTACAGCTAAACTTCTTATGTTACCAGCGGTTGAGCAGCATTTGTGCCGAGCTGATTTAACTGAAATATTTCTTGATAATGGAATATTAACTGTTTTCAAAGTAAATCTTTGATACAAACTATAATTAATATATTGAAAACTTTTAAATCGTGCTTATAGGATTGGCTCAGTCCTTTACCGGATAAAAGTTTACCCAATACTAAAATTCGAGAAGCACTTATCAAAATTCTTCAGCAAGTGAGTCGAAATAAATATCTATAAAAAAAAGATTTTTTATAGCTTCTACTTTTCTTCTTCAAAGTTTGGAACTATTAATGCTGATGCTTTACGCGATAGTGGTATTGGAAGATCTCTTATGTATTTATATAAACATCCGCGTGAAACAAAAGAAAACAAAATTAAATTAATCAAAATTATTCGTAAGTTTTAGAAAAATTATTTTTACTATTGTAACAGATTGATATTTTTTTGTTTGTATTCTTAGATGATTGGGCTCGACCTATTTTCAATTTGGATACAGATTATAAACTTTTAACACGTGAAGAACGATTACAACGTGATGTCGACCAAGCGACGCTTAAACGGCAAACATCGTTAACAGGAAAACCGAAAAATCGACGTGCTGATGTAGATTTACCTTTTTCTAGCGACGGGTAAATACGTTTTGATATTATTCTAAACACTAGACGATTGAAAGCTCATCGGTCTAGTATGAGTATTCACGGAAGACAACACTAAGAATTTCTATGCGAAATGTTATACTAAAAAAAGAAAGAAAGATTTCTTGTCCGTAGTTCCTAGGAAAATCGAACGTTGAGTTTAATAGCGGATGGCGCATATGACTAAAATTTCCTCTAATAATGATATCTGATGCCAAGCAGATTTATATAGATATACGAAAGCGCACACATTCTAACTTATGTTTTTTCTAGCCGACAAGACGACGACGACGAATTAAATAACGATGACGATTGTCCACGTGCTCGTGTTCCACGGCCTTCAAATAAAGATTACATTATACGACCCGCTTCAACTGCTGAATATCCAGAGAAAAGGGTTTGCTTTAAATTAGTTTATCGTGTGGAAATTTTTCTAATTCAATTTATCTAGAGCGACGGTAAAAAGAGAACCGTATCCCGTTTAGATGCCATCAAACGACAGCAACAAGATCGTAAACGAAATTCAAAACCGATGTCTATTGTTAAACTTAGTATTGAAGGAAATAAAATGCATTTGTAAACCGAAACACCGAAAAGATTCTTATTTTCATTGTTTTTTTCTTCTTCTTTTCATATTCGTTAAATTGTAACAAGCAGAGAGAGAGAGAGAGAGTGAGAGAAAAAAGAAGTCGAATCCATGTGTATGTATGTCTTGTTTGTTTTTGTATTTATCTTTCTTTTGTTCATAACTTGAAAAAATAAAATTGTATTCGTCGATCTGTTCAATTCTAGATTTTAATTCTTTTAATAAATTCAATATGACAATAAACGGAGGTTTTGCATTGAATGGAAATCAATCCTTTCAAAATCTAACAGGAACAGCATTAGAAATGTGTTCGAATGCGCCATTAACGGGCTACTTTCGTAATGGTAAAAACGAAAACTAATCTTGATTGAATCAGATAAAAACTGTTTGAGATTATTGTTAGGCTATTGTGCAACATGTCCAGATGATCATGGTTTACATACTGTATGTGCACAAATGACAAATGAATTTCTTGATTTTACACGTTCACATGGAAATGATTTGACAACTCCACATCCGCCTTACTTTCCAGGTCTTCAAGTAGGCGATAAATGGTGTTTATGTGCAGCGAGATGGTTTGACGCTTTTCAAGTTGGTAAAGCACCAAACATTTTTGCACGAGCAACAAATTCAGCTAATTTACAACAAGAACAAATTAATAATTTACTGTCGAAAGCGATTGATATGATGTAATATTGAAAATTTTTTCATTCGCGCAGATTCATAATTCTTATAAGGATATATCATAAATAAAAATAAAAATATGATGTTAAAAACGAAGGTTTTTTTTTGTTGCTCGACGGTGTAAATTCTTTTGATTTACGAAGAGCTAAACATATTTAAATAAATCATTGTATTTTGGTTGTTGTCTTGATTAAATAGATCGAAAGCGATACGAATTTTATAAGAATCGAGTTACGATAGTCTCGTATAATACTTGCCGTGACCAACATAAAAAATGATGATTTACTGAGAAATGTTACTCATGTAAATAATTCAACTTTTGAATCATCGCTTTTCGGGCGTGGGCACATCCGCACCCTCAAATTCGACTTACTCTTTATATTGGAGGTGAAACACGGGCAGGTTATTTTTCATGCGTTTTATAAAATTAAAATATCATAATTCTATTAATATAAAAATAATCGATTATCAACCATAACTTCGTCAATGATGTAGATTTTAACCGTAACGTGCTCAGGGTGGAACCAGTTGAATTTATTTTTCGTTCTATAGTCTCTGATTGGCTTTTCTAATTTTACTCCATTAAATATTGCATTTATAAACGATAATGAGTCGTCAACGAAGAGGAACGATGTTCGCTAATGATCGTTTTTTCTATAAATTACTTGTCATCGAAAACAAAGCATTGAAGATATTATTCGTGTCTGCGTCGCGATAAAAATAAGAGCGTAATACCTAATTGGTTTGAAGCAATAAGAAAAAATACTTAATCGAACACGCCAACAACAAACTGTCATCGACTCATATTTCTCAGTGAGCCGGAAACGCAAAGACAACTACTCTTAACAAGTATTTGTACACGTCAACAAATACCTGAATGATTCGAATTCAACAATTACTAAAACAAAAGGTTGACATCAGTTTTAGCTAGGTACTATTAGAAGTTGAATTTAAAAAAAATACTTTCGTTCTATCTATTTTAGAACAATTTAAAAGATGCCTTTTCAATCGATCAAGTTTGAACGATAATATCATGAGAGGACATAAAATAAAAATGACAGCCTCTAATCTGTAGTGTTGCTCGATGTAGTTATGTGTACGGATGAAAAGGATTGAATGAAAACTTTCATTTTCTATCTTTTCACGAAGTTGGAGTAAATTATCATTTATCACCGCATTTCCAAGAGTTAAGACTTGAAAACTGCTGGAGATGATACAGTGTCAGAATTTCTAAGCAAGTTCTATAATCGAAAGCAAAACATTTCGATGTTAATTAATTAAAGTTTATGGACAATATTTCAAGAGAAATATTTTGAAATCGCCGCAGTTAAGAAACGAAGAGGAAAATAGGTAATTTTCAAATTTGATCTGTTCCCTAGATTTAGTCGTGTGATGAACGTAACAATTTCATCATTCGTACTTAGATAGAACTGCAATTGCATAGGTAGCATAAAAATATCTATACTTCGCATGATAAAACGATGCCTTTTACAAATAATGGAAGGACAGAGTCGAATCTTTTCGATATGCACTATCCGTGTTGAAACTCAACGAAAGTTTTATTTACCGTGAACACAGTGCATTAAATAATAATCCTTTAAGGTATAAAACTGGAATGGATTCATCCAAGACAATTGAAAGCAGAGATAAATTCAACTGCGCAGGATAAAAGCTGTTAAGAATATCGGTTTTTACCGAAGACATGTGAACTAGTCACATAAGTGTTCGAAATAACAATGCTTTTAGTTGAGTCTGATTTAATTAGAGACAATTTTGTATCATAGACTAAGGATGTTAAAAATAAATGATTTCAAAGTTAGAAAATAGTTGAAATTGAATGGAAAAGATTCAAGTTTATACATTGCTCCAAGTCCTCTCTACGTGCACTCTCCACTATTAGAGGTATTTTCTTGTTAAACTTTTGTATCATGGTAGATTGAAATGATTCCTATACACGGCAATGCTGAGTCACCCAACGGCTCTTTTCGTGAGCATGTAATTATGGAAAACAACATGAATGCCGAATCCAGGTCCGACTCTCAATACGCAAGACCTCTTCGCTTTAATGCATATTATGAAATGCAAACTTCTACCATACTGCAAAAAATGTACGAATTTCTTTTTCAATATCAGCTATGTTCCTTATGATCTTTTGTTTTAGGAGATTCTATCTTAAACAAACACTGATGCTAATTTTGAACGCTGTCTTCGGGCTGCTTTCGTTGGCAAGTATTGCTATGATCATTGGCATAATCGTAGTTTCTTTCAAGGCGCCAGAACAACCTGGTATGTATTCATTGTTGTGTACACTTCCTACTAACGATACAGTTTCCTGTACAGAGAACCGCATCAACTGAAAGCACCTACAGCAGTTCATATTCTACTAATTAACAGAGAATAGAGATAAATTTCTTGCACCACTTGCTCTACGATGTTTTGTTTTATAAATCTGAACTAAAATAATATTTGATTTCAGAATTCTTATCGCCAATCTCATTAGTGTGTTGTGTTGAGCATGACACAGATGACAAAGTTTTATTACAGAACATGATGCAAATAATATTGTTTACATGTTCCAATGATGCCTTTTTCTTGCGATAATACCTGCGTGCTTAAAATTACTATATTCTGTGAATATTCAGATGTATTTATCTTTTCCTTTCTCTCTCTATTTTTTCACCCATCATGTCGTTTATACTTGACTGATTGAACTGATCAAACTCTAGTTCTCTTGAAATAAACATTGATTAGCAATCGAATACTGTAACAAAATGAATAAACAGCGAGTAAAATTTTACTCAATGATCGCTCACATCATAGATGGAACCGGTCCGGGCGGAGATGTCAGACCGGCCGGTCTGCGCAATTTTTTAGTCATATTTCTATAGAACATCAAATATTTGGTCTGTAGATGACGTAAACAAGGACAGTTAAGGTTTTCATGTGGATAATATAAAATTCTAATCTTAAATTGTAAATGATATTATACAAAATTTGTGTTATTTTAATTCTATAAGACTATGCAGCAGTTGCATAGTCTTATAGAGTATGTGAAAGGCGATACTCTAATATTTGAAGTATGAGTTATACTTTCAAAACTACATTTATACTGTTTTCGACAATTCAAACTCAAAGGGGGAAAATCGTATTTCTGTATTTTCATATTTCTATCTATTTCGAAAGTATTTCTAAGTGTTTTTACGAATTTCTATGTATTTCCAATTTATTTTTACATATTACTGTATTTTTGAAACACATATAAATACATACAAATACGTAGAAATACTGAAATTTGGTCAAACTAATTACATGAAAAGACCCGCCGATTTTTTACCAGTTTTAGCATTAATATAGACCGGCCGGTAACTGGCCGGTCCGGTCCGGGCAGAAAAAACTCGACCGGTTCCATCTGTAGCTCACATATCTCAGAAAGAATCAATTGAGTAATATTTGCACATATGGCTAGATCTTTTTTTTCTGAAAGATAATCATGATGAATTCGAAAGCTATGCTAAAGAATATTCACTTGGATAATCTTTTATTTATTTTATATCCTGAATGAATGGCTGCTTATGATGATTTGATTTGATTAGATGCACCATAAATTTTAACAAAGCCCACACATAAGCCAATGAAACTAACAACAAAATAAACCTATGAATAATTTCAATTAAAACAATCTTCTAGTTTTTGAATCAAAACATATTGTAATTGGCAAAGACCTTTTGAGTTCGAATTTTTTGCACAAGATAGAATCTAGTCAGATATGAAAAAAATCCCCTTATGTCTTCTATTCAGAGTTATACGCAGTTTACTGGAATCTCGACTTGAGATTGTACCCAAACACATTCCTTGATAAGAATGTGGTTTTGGTCTTCACATACCAATATACTTCTGCATCCTTAAAATAATAAACTAAAAGTGCAATTCCAAGTACCATCGTTTAATTTCCGACAACAATGTCGAAGAGGGAAGGAAAAAGATCACTAAGCATACAATCTTATTGAGAAAACGAAATAAATCGACGTATAGATATATTTGAATAAGTTAGAAAATATGAGCAACTGAATGTATACACGAAGAAAAAGACTGAAAACAATGTAACAAAAAGAAAACACGGAAAGGACTTGTTCTTATTCGCAATGTGCGTATAATATACATATAACCTAACTACACACATATACATATGTCTACGAAATATATTTAAATGTGTGTCACAGCGTCATTATTTACAAATAACAATGCACAAACTTACATACTTACAAAGAAAGAAGAAAACAAAATGTCCACTAAAGTGACATGAAGAGAGAAAGAGAAAAGAAAGCACACAGACAAAATACATACGAACAATGTATGTGTTTTTTATACAAATAAATAAATAGAAAACACACAAGAACGCATTGATATATTGAAAGACAAACGAACAGATTTTATCTCTTATTCTTTCAGCGATTAATTATAATGAAGAAAATTTTGTGTCGATTGTTGAAATGTTGACATCATTGGATTGTAGATATTTGAATCTGCAACAGCCGGTATTTGCTGTTGAACATGAACAAATGATGGTGGATTTGTAGATTTATTTTCCGCTTCCCAAAGATGGCGAACAGCTTGAATTTTATCAGCTAAACCTTGTTGGCTATCAATAGATGATTGATCGTAAGGATTTTCTTGTTGTTGCTGTTGTTGTTGTTGTTGTTGTTGTTGTTGTTGTTGTTGTTGCATATGGCTTGTCATCAGGTTGTTATTGCTGATTACATTGTTTCGTTGTTGTAAAGAAAGCATTGATAAAAATCGAAGAACATTCTAAATAGAAACAATTGAAGATGACAATCGAATATCTGTTGAATATTTTTCTGTATCATTTAACAGTCGAGAAGTTTTGACAGTAAAAACAAAACTTACTTTTTTCCTCATAATTAAAAGAAAATAATTGTAATTAGAGTTCATTAGAATACATCAATCATTCATTCTCAGTAATTCTCTGATGGCAGACAGATGTATAGATAATCAGTAGACGTGATCTTCTATTAGATATGTAATTCATCGTACACAGCTCATCACTTTCATATTGTAATCCTTCAATATCCTATTGATCGAATTAGAGGTATGGCTTGCTGCGCCAAACTCTAAAATTTCCAACGACATGTTTAGCATGCAGCACAACTATTTGATATTCCGGTTCGAGTCCTAGATGAAAGTCTTCGTCTAATCTATAACTAACTTTTTTATTTGATATCTTTAGAATGAAGTAGTTTTCTGTGGTTAACCACAGAAATTATCCTACGTTTCATAATTTTAACCCTGAAGATAAATATTCTACCTGTTCAATTTGCTGCGGTGGTTGTTGTTGTTGCTGCATAGGAAACATTTGTTGTCGAGCCCAATTTTGTTGATGCATGAACATGGCTGCCGAAAGTTCATTTGTTGGTTGCTGTGGTTGTTGTTGTGGCATTGAAAAAGACCTATTCATATATGGATATTGTTGAGTCGGCGTCGTAAACCAATTTTGTGGTGTCTGTCGTATCGGTGAAACACGTTGATCAACAAATGAAAATTCATTTGATATCGGTGTCGATGTTAACCCATAGTCATACGCCATACGGGCATCGTCAACAAGATTTTGTTCCATCATTGGCGACGAGTACATGTGTAAATGATCTGGACCTGAATTTGTAAGATGAAATCCTAACAAAAACACAATCATAGAAAAACTATTGAAAACAAATTGTTCCCTACCATTATTAGTCATCATAGCCGGCGTTGATAGATGATGTTGAATTTTCGTTTTTTCTGCACGTGCTTTCATTTGAAGATTTTCCGAAATTGAAAATTGATTTTGATGTCGACGTTCAATATGAAAATATTTACACTTATTCCCATATGTGCATTTCTTTCCGTATGGACATAATGGGAAATGTGTTTCACAATCATTTCCATCATCATCATTAACGATAGTTACTAACAATGGTTGAAAACTACAGAAGAAAAAATAATTTCATTTTTATTTATTTGAATAAAAATAGAAAATTGTTTTTTTCTTCTCTATCTTACTTATCATTTTGAAAACGATATCTTATTACTTTTTCTTCTAGTATTTGTTTATAAATGGTAAAATCTAATATAACATCTTTCAATGAAACGTTTGTTATTAAATGCCCTTTAATTTTTTGAGAAAACTTCAACATTTCACTTATATGCGTATATGAACTTGGCTTATTTGTTTGTTTCGACATACGATTGGTATAAACAAGAAGATTTTTACGTTCAAGATCACGTAAAGATTTCGATTCGGAAAAATTTTGATCATGCCGATGATGTTTTAATGAATAAGGTAGTACAACGAAGACTTTCTTATGTCCATGTGTGTGTAAATATTTTAAACAAATTTCAATGCCACGCCATGAAAACGAATTATTATTATTATTATTGTTGTAACTAAAAAACAAGAGAAATCGTTTTTTTTTTTGAAATTTCTATTTTCTCATTTTACCCATATGCAAGATCAATGCCATCAATTATGTAAACATCATGTGGAATACTTGTATCAGAACTATCAGTATCACTATTGGTTGCTGTAGATATTTTATTTGATGAAAGTACGGATGATGTTGGTGTTGTTGTCGGAGTTAAATTGCTATTGACTTCAGCTGTGCGTACAATTGTTTCGATGAATTTCGACATATCATCACTATTGTTTTGTTGTTGTATAACACTTTTGATTAATTCATAATCATAACCCATTGAAAGACCTTTATTGATTTTTAATGCTAATGTTGGATCATCGTCACTGGCACAACCAGAATCATTTTCATGTGTATGGTGAATCATTTTTGCAGACGTTGGCGGCGACGATGAACATGAACTCAGAGATGATTCATTATGAAGATCAAATATTAACGATTGATCATTGTTAACAGAATTTGTTGATGTCGTTGACATTTTTTTGTCAAAAGAAAGAAAAAACAAAAGTGATCAAACTTTGCGCCTAAAACGATAAAAAATAAAAAATGTTTTCAATGTACGATTTTATAAGTTACGAAAATTTTCAGATCAGTAAAACTAATACTATTTTTCTTAAATGAAAACAAAAAAAGCAAATGAACAAACACGATTCAATAGAAATAATAATAAAAAATCATCTAATATCGACCAGCTCATTCTGATAAGCTGCCTAAATTGAACATGTCAAGTAGACGAAGTAACCGGTCGTATGTGTACGCTAGTTACCCATCACAAATGCCCCTTTTCACCAACGCTTTAATAGAAGGGGCAATCAGCTGTTCGTCGTTCTTCTTTTTTTTTCTTCTCGTCTTTTTTGTTTCTTTTACTTTCTTACCCACATATGATCCTCCATATGATTTGATTTAGTGTGTCAGCAGTAGGCGACATACACAGTATAGAAGAAAATTACGGGGTGTAAATGAAGGGGTATATCAAATTATAATTGATGAATAAAAAACAAAAATTAGGAAAACGAATAGAAAATATTGATAAAACTTTTTAGTATTCATGCGAAAAGGAAGAAGAAGCTATTTTGAAATCTCCTATGATTCGCATTATTTAGCTTATCTATAATCATCTTACTACAAGAACTGATTTTGTGTATATATATAAAGAGAGAGAGAGAGAGAGAGAGAGAGAGATAGAAATGATGAAAAACGAAATTGAATAAAGCAATTTTTAATTAGAAACTAACTGAAAATATGTTTTATATTTAGTAAGAACCTTTCGAAACAACAATAGAACACATGATGTGAAGTACGAATAAACATACATATATTTTTGTTTGTCGTCCACAAATTATAAACGACGACAACGCCTACCATCCTCAGTAATAATTATTCGGCAGAGGACTCTCATTTATATGTTTCATAGATTTATTTTGATTTCAATATCATGTTTGATTAGAATATTAGAAAGAAATTCTATTTAGTTTTTACCACACATGACTATTAGAGACAGAGTACGTTCGTATCCGGATTCGCTGGTTAATAATAAGTTATTTTTATTTTTATTTGTATCAAAACAAAAAAATAATTTCACTTTTATTAATAGGAAGAAAATAACTTTTATTATATATTTTTTAAGTGATTCGAAAAAAATTTAAAAATAAAACTTTCAATATAATCGACAGATCTATTCGAAAATCAATCAGTAAAATATAAAAAGATGAGTGACGTGAAGGCAAACGAACTATCGATTTTATTTTAAAATAATCCATTCATTCGCCTATGCCTATGCTAAATAGAGTTAAATGCGAATTTATCTTCGATAATCTTAAGAGTGTCCGTGATATTTGAGTTAGAGATAAACGAGTTCGAGCCATTCGAGTTGATAAATCAGAAACAAGTTTAGTTTATTTGTATAAAAATTTATAATAGTTAAACTTAAATTCTCATGTCATCGTGACATGCTTACTAATTAAATACATTTCAACTTATTTTGAAGGCCTGCTTAACGTGTCAGAAGCGACATCCTAAGCACGAGGAGCAGCACTTATTGGTATTTTAATTTTCTAATTAATCTATAGTTGTATGTGATTTTTCTTATGTCGGATTTTGACCCAACGAACTTAGAACTGAATATTGTGTAATGAAGATTTGCTGTGAACCTTCTTTGATAAAAGCAAACAGACGAATAACTACTAAAATAAACTTTGACTCGATTCGTCCGTGCCTGACTTAAACGGCTTACATTAAAACATTAGAGGACAGCTGAATCATACTGTTTTTTTTCGATTTAAATTTAAATTTTCTATACTATTTAGTCGGTCTTTAGCTTGTTTTTCTTTGCAGCATGTTTTTCTTTAATGAAATACATTCTTTCTAAACGATTACTCGGAAATATCAAGTACACTTCTATACAATCGCTTACTTGAAATAGATTAACTAATACGTTTTCTTTGTGACTATGTCTTATCCTATCTACATTCTAGGATTATTATTCGCCCGAGGTCTTAACAAGTTTACTTCTCTGCAGACATATTGATCTATGAGACAAGCTATAAATATCTTGAATCGTTGATATTTGTCAGTTATTTGGGTTTGTCGTGCCCGTCTATCATGTTATACGCACATCGTTTCCCCCCATATATAAATATTATGGTGATAATTAATGCAAAAACAGAACATTGCTTGTATGACAAGGCAGCGCATCTATAAATAACATCAGAGCACAGCTCGACAAGATATATCATTTGAAAATAGACAAAATGACCTGTTTTACTCAACTATGCCATCGAAGAAACTATAATAAGATTTAGTCAACGATTCATCGACGATGATAATAATCGATTGGAGTGTGTGAACTTCATAGGCTAAAACGTGTTTAGGATATTTTTCTTAGATCTGAAAAACTAGCGATATTTCCTTTTGTTATTGTAAAATCGAAAAGATTCACAGTTGTTCAATTATTAAATTAAAGAACAGTTCTCGTATGCTTCTCAAATCCGATGATGGCGCTCTACACTGTGATGTACTTTTGAAGATTATTGCTGCTATCGGGTAGGAAAAACAATTATAATGAACACTTGCCGATATATTTCAGATGATGACGCATTTAAAGTGTAAGAATTTGTGTATAAGAGGACAAGTTAATCGATGAAATAAAATACTGCAAATCATGGATGAAGAACAATGCAACTAAATGATAATTCATTCTTTGAATGAGTATTTTTATTATATTTTTCTGTTATATTTCTTGAGACCAGACTCTTTCAGTTATCATCTAAGTTTGTTTATGGTATGCATAAAATTCTCATCAGATTGCACACGAGAGATACTTGGTTCGTATATATCCACAAGGTTTTGTTCTGCTGGTGGATGAAATCTGCATCCAAAGAACAATCTCTCTACAGATAAAGCATATAAGAAAACAACTTGATGGCACAAGACGTAAGAACATGTTCTGATGTGTTTTCGGTCTAATAATAAAATATACGAACAATAGATCTCATTGTATTTTAAAATCAAGTGCCGAAAAAACTAAAGAAGAGTTCTATTGAAACTCTACGAAATTCACAAGCTGCATCTCAACTGAGAGGCGATATTTGAGCCAAAGAACAAGAAAAGTGTACTAAAAAATACAAAAATCTATAACTGAAATCGTATTCGTCTCTTTATTACAGTAGCTGAATATCATACTGAACTGAATAGTAAACCTCATAAGGAGAAATAAAAGGAAGGTGGAAGCAGTATTCAAGTCGTAAATTCACGGATTTTTTTTCCGGCGGATTTCGGTCAACTTCCAGTGCTTTCCAGCAGGAACCGACAGTAAATCATTGGGAAAAAATCCGAAAATTTTCCGACCGGAATACTATTTCCACGTTCCAGCTACTGCCCATGTTTTCCTCCGGAATACGGTGATTTTTCCGCATATTTCCGGTCGATTCCTACAGTATCCGGTGACCGGCACGATCGCCCTGGAGTATACATAGACAAATTTCATTCACGGTGTCCACATAGTGGCGTCATCTGTTGATTGGCCGGAACACATTCACACAAAAACATAATCCCAAACCATATATTTATATCAATAAAACTTATATTTTAACTTTTATAATCAATTTTAAATGATTATCAATACACAATAAACGTCAACAGAGTGGATCCCCTGAAATTCTAAATTCCAATAAAAACCAATGCATCCGATTTGTTTATTTGGATTGATTTGTTTTAATTCATTTCAGCGTTTTATTTTCCATTGCGATTGTGACTATTTCTATTATTACTATTTTGCGCTTTAGATCGAACATCATAATAAATATAAAAGTATATTTTCAAGTCTCATCTAAATCATCATGAGTCACCGAAAGTTTGAACATCCACGTTGTGGTAGTCTTGGATTTTTACCAAAAAAGAGAGCATGCCATCATCGTGGAAAGGTGAAATCATTTCCAAAAGACGATCCTAAAAAACCCGTACATCTTACCGCTTTTCTTGGTTATAAAGCAGGTTAGAATTCATCTCTTTTTAATTTATCAGCAGGTATTTAACTTTTTTTCTATTAACAGGTATGACCCATATCGTACGTGAAGTCGATCGACCAGCTTCCAGTAAGTCTATACAAAGATAAAAATTAATGCATTCATAATTTTTTAAATTCTTTTGTCTCAATTAGAATTAAACAAAAAAGAAACTGTCGAAGCTGTAACTATCATCGAAACACCACCTATGGTTATTGTTGGTGTTGTTGGTTATATTATGACACCACGTGGTCTTCGTGCATATAAAACCATCTATGCTCAACATTTAAATGAAGAATGTCGTCGTCGTTTCTACAAGAATTGGTATTCATCAAAACGAAAAGCCTTTTCAAAATATTCAAAAAAATGGGATGATGAATCAGGCAAAAAAGCCCTCGACAATGACTTTAAACAAATGATCAAATATTGTAAGGTTATTCGTGTATTAGCACATACACAAATGAAATTATTACGCAAACGTCAAAAGAAAGCACACATTATGGAGATACAATTGAACGGTGGTACCATTGAACAAAAAGTTAATTTTGCTCGTGAACATTTAGAAAAACAAGTACCAATAAGTCAAGTATTTTCTAAAGATGAAATGATTGATACTATCTCAGTAACCAAAGGTCGTGGTTTCAAAGGTGTTACATCACGTTGGCATACGAGAAAACTACCACGCAAGACACACAAAGGTTTACGAAAAGTAGCTTGTATTGGTGCATGGCATCCAGCTCATGTCTCATATGCTGTTGCTCGCGCTGGTCAAAAAGGTTATCATCATCGTACTGAAATCAATAAGAAAATCTATCGTATCGGCGAAGCCATTCAAGTTAAAGATGGTAAAACTGTTAAAAATACAGGTTCAACTGATCATGATCCTACAGAAAAAACCATCACTCCTATGGTATGAACAATTCGTTCATTTGTTTTTCCTTTCCTAATGAAAATAATTTTGTTTTTTCAATGTTTAGGGTGGCTTCCCACATTATGGTGAAGTTAAACAAGATTTCATTATGATTAAAGGCTGTTGTATTGGTCCAAAGAAACGTCCAATAACGTTACGTAAATCACTTATACTTAACCAAAAACGTTCACATCGTGAACAAATTGAATTACGCTTTATCGATACATCATCCAAATTTGGTCATGGTCGATTTCAAACTCATGAAGAGAAACGCATATTTATGGGTCCACTTAAGAAACATCGTCTTCAAGAAGAACAACAACTTACAACGACAGCAGCAGCAACAACACCACAAACAAAATCATCATAGATTTGTTTGCTTGTTTGTTACGTTCCGTTTATCCTGCCGTTATTATAAACTTTTGTTTTGCACATCGATCACACGAAAGAGAAAATAAAATATAAACGGCAGAAGCATAAAAATAAAAAAAATGCCGATAATAAAAACATTTCTTTAAAAAGAATAAATTATTAAAAATAGTATTTATGGATTTATTTCGTTCTCTACAAAAAGAAATGACCACAAGGAATCTAATGCTTTTCTTTTGTTTACATTACTCATAATTAATCTGTTGATTAGAAATTCCCTTCAATCTTAGATTTCAATGTAGAGTTGTTCTTTGTTTCTTTTTTCATTACTAACTATGCCTAATGGTAGCACTAAAAATTTGTTGGCTGAAGATTCTTTTTCTTAACAGTAGAAGTTAGCTTTTCATATTTATTCTATAGTTGAAACATTAGAAAGGCACAATTTTGCTACATTTTATCCGATGTTACATGAAAAAGATACGATGAGTTGTTACTCACTAGTCCACTATTTTCAAACTCAGATTAAGGAACAGTATGGACTAAATTATATGAAAACATAACTAATGGGACTGATTTCCGTTTCAAATTAAAAGAAGGATGAGTACTTCTGCTAAATAGAAACCTGCAGGTTACCTCGTTTAAAAGTGGAAGTGAAACTGCATCGGATTGACATTACCAGATTTTACTCACGATCTCCTACCAAGTTTCTAAAACAGAAAATATAATGTAATGGAAACTAGTTTCAATAGTGCACCGGAATCATGAAGGGAAGTTCAATAATGTATGCAGTATCGGTGTTAAATTGTGTGGTTAATCTCTAAGCTTATTAAAAATCTTTCGGCTTTGAAAAACTTGGTCAGTCGTCCTGAGAAAATTTTGGTATTGAAATTCCGACGTAGTTTTATTTTGTCTTGTAAACCGCAAATCTCCACCGTGCTCCTAAAACAAACTATTTCGAAAATGCTCATCCTTATTTTAATTAGAAATCGATATTAGAATTATCAAAAAATTGAGAGCGACGAATAGTATCCACAAACAACAAGTTCAACAGTGTTGTTATTCTAGATATTTGCTTTTTACAAAACTTATACAAATAGAACGTTATTTTTTCTCGCACTTCATTGTAAATTTTTGCATTCCTAATATGTCACATAATTTGTTCAAATGTTTATGCGTGAATATTTTTCCTTTTTCTGATAATTGTCACGTTGGGAACAATCTCTGATGAACATTCAATTTGTAAAGCGATCTTGCTCTTTTCTAAAAACTAGGCGCACAAGAATAATTAATAGAATCACTGCTGTGACTATGTCCTTGCACTAGAAAAATATGTCAACAGCAATCCGATCTTACAATAGATCAATTTATCTTAATGAGCTACGATCTCTTCAGCACCATAGACATCGGAGATAAAAATAGATACGACCAAAAGCTGATCCTATAAACCTGACTTACACTAAATTACAATTGAAAAACTAAGTGTTTCAATATTACACATAGAAAAGAAAAAAATCTTCTTGTAACTGTAAAAGAAGTTCAACAGCCAATTCTTAATGCTACAAAGTTTTACTAGAGATTCTGGCAGAGAAATTTTAGAATTTTCATTCTGCTGAGAATGACACAATCTGGATCGAACATTTGAGTCAATACAATAAGTCATAAAGTAGCAAGCAGCTAATTCTATTGCGTATTCGGTGAATTCACTGTAAGATATGGAAGTGAAAATCAAAGAATGTGTTTCTTCTCTACAATATTACGTAGCCAGTCAACTAGATGCTGGTTAAGTTTTGAAATATATTTTTTCATTTTGTTATGTCGTGAATTTCTCAGTAGTGGTATCGAATATTATTGATTCCGGAAAAGGAATAGATCGTTTTGTCCAGCTTGTAGTGTTATAAATTTAAAAATCAATAAGAGAGTATTGAAAAACAGTACTGAGAATTAGTTGGGGCTGAAAAATGTATGCTGAAATTCTGTTAGTAAATATATTATTCTACGAATATTAGTTAGCATTGTCTAAAAATTTGTAGAAAAGAATCAATAAATCTGAGCTTTCTTTAAAAATATTCTGATTTATATGTGTGTAATTTTATAATTTTGTTTTTTCTCTTCCTTTTGTTTTAATGTTTTTTCATTATTAATTATTTTCTGATTTTTTTTTTTTTTAATAATTAATTATTTATATTTTTAAGACGTTTCGGAGATATCTTTCTCCTTCTTCAGTTTTATTTTATTTGGTGTTATGTTTGTTTTTACTATTTACAATACGTATCTGACTATTNTTTTTTATTATTAATTATTTTCTGATTTTTTTTTTTTTAATAATTAATTATTTATATTTTTAAGACGTTTCGGAGATATCTTTCTCCTTCTTCAGTTTTATTTTATTTGGTGTTATGTTTGTTTTTACTATTTACAAGACGTATCTGATTCAGGGCTGGAACCGGTCCGGCCGGACCGGACAGGACCGGTTAAGAAATTCAACCGGGCCGGTAAATACCGGAAAATCGCCGGTTGAATTTTTAAAATAACTATCTTCATTTAGCTCTGTTTTGTTAAAAAGATGTTTTATCAGTGTATATATACATTTATTTATATATAAAAAGTCCTATAAATCTGTTGATGCTGCAAAATTTTTGTGGAATTCAGAAGAAATCTTGATTATAACCATAAACACCAGTAATAAATCTCATTTTCTTTCATAGTAAAGAGAAATCAACGGAAGTGCGACAGTTGATCAATTTGGTTGGTCAATGCATTATCAACAGTGATCTTTTTTTTCTGTCGTGTTCTATTTCTTTCTCGTTCGTCTTTGCCGGAATTTCACCGGTTCAAGAATAATTTATGTCCGGCCGGACAGGACCGGTTTATAAATATCTTACCGGTTCCAGCCCTGATCTGGCTATTATTTCTTTTTCTTTTCTTTTTCTTTAATAGTGGAACGGAACGTCAAAACATATAAGTTTTACCGGCCAGTATTACCGTCTTGTCATTCCGTTCCACTATTAAAGAAAAAGAAATAATAGTCAGATACGTATTGTAAATAGTAAAAACAAACATAACACCAAATAAAATAAAAATGAAGAAGGAGAAAGATATCTCCGAAACGTCTTAAAAATATAAATAATTAATTATTAAAAAAAAAATCAGAAAATAATTAATAATAAAAAAACATTAAAACAAAAGGAAGAGAAAAAACAAAATTATAAAATTATAATGACCTTCCTAAACACATGTAATTATATGTGTGTAATATGCGGTTAGAAATAGATCAATCAAGTTGAACTAGTCATTTGTAAGTTCAATAGAACTTCATCACTAGGAGTAATTCTAAAATATTTTTGTTCTCCTGATTATCCTATTTTCACACCTAAAGCAAGATATTATAAATCTATCGAGCATACAAATCCACAGAAACTTTTTATTAATATCATGATCAACGGCAGGAACAACACGTTGAAACAGCCGTATCTTTCAATCATGTGCAAATGTGTGTCCTAGCCGATTGCTGTGCTATTGATTATTTATACTCTATGAACCATTAACGGAAACTTTCAACTTATGAAATTATACGACTTCATTTCATTGAACGGTTGTAAAGCACACAAAAAATTATCACTTTTAATCGTAAGTGTTGTTTTTATTCAATAAATTGAATTATAAATATTAAACTCACAATTATTTGATTAGATGAATGCATTGAAATAATAATTAGAACGACTAACTACATTAGTTTTTTACTAAATCTCATCTACACAACAACTTGTTCTTCGCTGCATTACTACTAGCAATAGATTGACGGGCAGAAAAAAATAACAGTTACTATATCATTCTAGAATAGCAGTTTGTGAAAAATAAAACGTTTCTGTATCTAACAGGCAGTAACCCCTCATAACCCTAATGATAAATGAAATTTTGACAAAATTCTCTCTGTTTATAATCATCATTTTCATGAGTGCGCTGCTTTTCAGTACAATCGAAATTAAAACAAATGCGTCGTTCGGGCCATGTTATAATGCTTCATTTGGCGCCTCTCTTTTATGGCATACTTTATCGCCTTTTTCTCTCTTTCGATTGTGCATTTTTAACTTCTCGATAAAACTACAGTAACCGATCATTTTAATTAACATTTTTTTTGCTCAATACTAACCAGGGCTGCCATTTCTTATTTTTCCAATGGGGTATTTTCGGTTTTAGAATGAGGTGCATAGCTGAGGTGCATTATCTACCTACCAAAAAAAAAAGATGATTTAATTGAGAAACCGATCAGATAAATACTACCCTTAGAAATAGAAAAATCTGATTTACATATAGAACAATGAGCAAAATATTTATTAATTCGACATTCTCTAAGAAATGCTGTATATTTAGGATCTTTCGACCATTTTCGGTTGAAGATACAACGCTTGTTTGGCTTTGATGAACTTTTCTTTTCGTTGATATTGGTAGTTGGTTTGTCTCGAAAACTAAAAAGTTCTTCAGTTATTTTTGCCCCTGAATTATCAAAAATTTCATTTTCATAACCGTTATTCAATGCCATGCGAAGATTATATTGAAGAGAAAATCTAAAACTATATTCATTTTTGAGACAATATGTATTTGTCAAATTTAATAGAAAAATAAATGTGGAAACTTCGGATTTCATCCGAAAGTTATGTGTACTGCAAAAAGTGCATGGGATATATGAATCATTCTAGAATGTCTGAACACTAAAATTATCATGAGAAACTAGGCAATTTGATTTCTGGATGCAGTTTTTGGGCATTTTGAGACGTTTTTCAGGCGATGATTCGTTAGAAAGCTACGATTTAGTCCAAAACTAATATCAGATTCGGAATCAGCGTTAAAAACTGAGTCGATTTGTATATATTGTGAATAATTCTGAGAAAGATTTATTTTTTGAAAAAACTTCCCTGTACTCCTCAGGGATGGCCTGGTCAAAAATGACAATTTTTTCGATAACTCAACCATTTCTAGAGGGATTCTTCTCATCTTCGAACTCGACCGAGATATTCATGAGATTGAACTGTGTGGAAAATTTCATCACGGCCTGACTCTCCTTTCGCAAGTTATCGTGCCTACGGCCGGCCGGACACACTGACCGATTCTAGAGTGTACTCACTTTTTGAGTACACAAAAATAATCAAACGATGAGAAATTAGACAAGGAGAAAAATTCAATAAAACTGATTTCATTATTCACAGTAAAAATAGTTTGTAAAACCAAATAATTCAAGGCTAAGTTAAACAAAATGGATCCTAATATCTATCGGTCAGTTATTTATCAACACATTCTATTACATATTTCTTTATCAAAGTGAGAAAAGTCTAAATGGAGCACAGTTGGCAACCCTGTTACTAACAAAAGGACACTCCAATATATAAATGACTATTTCAGTAGACGTTTCAAGGTATTAACTTGTCATTCTTTTTCTTTGCATGATAAGTAAAAAGTGTAAAACAAGAACATTCCAGTTTGACATATATGAGTTCGACTTGCTTTTTTAAAAATAAGACAAAATATAAAAGAGCAAAGTCGCAAAGAACATTACAGGTTACAAACTGATTTACTCTTTTGATTGCTATACGAAACGAGATTAAATTATTTATTCTGTCAATCTTCTATTGATATAATAAAAAGTATTCGTTTAGATCAGAATGTGAAGTATTTTTTCTTTGTAACATACTTTTATCTAATTATGATAACTATACGTATATGTAACAGCTAGGTTATTGACACCGCTATTTAGAAACATCACTTATGTCTGACTATTAGTAATTGTGTTTGTCAATCTGCTGTCATTGGTTACTACAACAAAATGAAACATATGTTTCACCACTTATCCTCTATGCTATTATTTTTCTATCGAAACTCTTTCATGCGCTTATGACTGGACAGTTCATTGCCATAGGACCTCATGGGGTTAGGGTATAATCAAGTAGTCAATGACACTAGCCAAAGAGCGTCAATTCAAGTATCGATGGGTAAATTATGTAAGAATTGTTTATATAAAACAGCTGTTCAGTCAGATCTTCAGGCATATATATTGTCTTCGTACATAAAAAAGAAATTTGTTCCTTTCAGTTTTGTTCTTTGAGTGCATTATACTTTTTTTTCTGTTTCTGTCGTAAACCGCGGAAGCAAAGCTTGAATTAGACGAGAAAAAGAAAAAAATACATGCGTCAGTTATCGGATGATATACGTGGGAACAAGGAGTGAATCATATGGTGTCATTTTTATCGACGCTTGATGGCATTTAGCAAACAGCTGTTAAGAAAAGTTTAGCTTTTTTTGTGTTTTCTTTATCATCTGTACAAATGTACACGCTTCATCAAAACCCAACATTCATACAAACAAAATACTCATAGATCTCATTATGAGTGACAAACAGATTCAAAAATCAAACCGAAAACAGAAGCAACAAAAGAGATGCATAGCTTTTTCTATTTCTTAGCCGTCGAGACACAAAAAGACAACAACACGAGTAAAATGTAAGAGAGAGAGAAAGAAAACAGACCGGTGTAAACAATGAAACAAAGCATTAAAACGATATTGTATGTGATGTGTTGAATCATACTATTTTTGGAGAGAGAGAGAGAGCTAGAAAAAGAAAAACAGATTGTTCGCGTGAACGCACACACACACAGAAAGAGGACAAAAGAATGTGTATCACTGTCCTTTTCAAATACTTGAGTCAAACACAAGAAAAACAAAACGTGCACACACACAACAATGAACATTTTTTGGTCTTGTTTCTTGAGTACACACGACACACAAAGAAGAGAATATATATGTATACACTATTTACAAACAGAAAAAAAAGTACAAACCGGGATATATAAAAAACGAGAGAGATAAGGATTGAAAAATTGCTAATGTGGTGTATAACGTAACGTACGTTGTATTAAATGTTCTTGTAATAATCGAGCTACTGTAGATGATGGTTCACTTGATATCTGTTCATGATGATGAACTTCTGGACTTGATATAGGTGGTAAGTCTATTAATATTACAAAAAAAAACAATGAAATCAACGAAATGGTATAATTATTCTACATTACCTTGTTTATGTATAATTGTATCATCACTTTCGTTATACGTTATTTTTCGTTTTTTAGGCGGTCTGTGATGTAAATCATCAATAGTATGATTAACAGATGTTGCTGGTTGTTGTTCATGAATGTTTATTGTTTGTTGATATATTGTATTTGTTGATGATGGCGATGATGGATTTTTATTATTTGCTTGTTGAAATTTTTCATTAATCATTGCTTTTATTTGCGCCGGTAAATCTTCTTTGGGATAGGATGATGAGGATGAGGTAGGTTGTTGTGATTGATTTATATTTGCTAGTGCATCATCACCTTCTAAATGACGTATAGCTTCAACAATAGTTTGTAAATTTCGACGTGAAACAGTATTATTTGTATCGACACTTTGTGTTTGAAGTTGACATCGTTCGACAATAACAATACCATTATCATTATTTTGATCGAGAGAATTAGCTTTATAATAACGTTGACTAGGTTGACTTTGTTTCAAAATCATATAGGTTGTATCTGATGTTGTCGCCGGTGTATTAGATTGTTTTACAGTTCGATAATATTTATCGATCTGTTGCTATTGAATGAACGAAATGAAATAAGATACTTAAAAAGCGTTTTGTCAGTTAAACTTACTGGCGATGGTTGTTCATCTTTTTGTGTTTGAACATATTGTGCATGCCAATATGTGTGACGATTTTTAACATCATCAAATACATTATTTACTATAGGTTTTGTTTCATCATTATTATTACCAAGTAATAGAACAGTTTCATCTGAATCTAAAAAAAGATATTTATCAATGTCAAATTTATGTCAAGGTTAATGGATAGCTAACTGTCAACAACAACAGTGGTTTCTTTTTCTTTTTGTTCTTTATAACCGCAGACGGACAATGTGTATGAAATAAAAATAAAAATAAAAATAAAAGACCCTTACCATTTGTGGATAAACGTCGTTGTGTTTGTAAAACACTTGTTGAATCGATTTGAAAACTTTTTATTAATATACGAAATTGTTCATTTTGAGATTGTAATTTAAGTTTTTCATTTTCAAGACTTTTTATATGATCAGCAGCTCGTTGAAGAATACATGCCTACGTATTAGAAAAAAAGAAGATTTTGATTCGTATGAAGAAAAACAAAAAATACGATATAACATACTTTACTAAGTTTTTCGCCACATGAATGAGGAATGAGAACTTTTAAATTTTGAAAGCCACTATTGATCGATTGCATTCGACGGCGTTCATTGGAATTAGCAATTTCGCGTCGTACACGTTTTTCCTGATCTAACTGAGAATTTGGAGTCATATCGGCACTAAGACGACTAGAAGCAAGAAAAAATATGTATATATATATATATTCATTCAAACAAGATAAGATATGCGAATGCAATGTAATCTCGTTTCTTCTTATTCTTCTTCTACTACTACTACTACTACTCATCCAACGTACTGACAGCATATCTATCGATCTGTCCATCAACACATAATATGAATTGAAGAAGTGATGACATGTAAGTAGATCTATTTTTTTCTTCTTTCGTTACATTCGTTGCTAAACTGAACTATAGTTAATATATATGTATGCGAATGACGAACAGAACACAAACTAACATGTACGCGCACGCTCACGCACGTATATATACATTTATGTATTGTATTTCAATTCAGGTTCACAACGAACAAAACAAAAGAGCACTCTCTTTTGACTATCTGCCAAACACCATTCATTCTACACATACACACGCGCACACATGCGGAAAAAACTAGGTCCTCGTTTTTCTTTTCTTTTCCTTCTTTGAACATACCTAACGTGACCACTAGAAGTTGAATTATTGGATGATAATCTATGTTGTAATGGTGATTCAGGCATAGCATGTAAATACTGATGTTTTAAAGATGCTTGATCAATCGCTGTGTCATTCGCATAGCAAAAGGACATTCACGATTTGTATACGTTCGTAGTATATTTCTTCCTATGCTGTAGAAAAGAAAAAGAAAATTGTCACACATACACATCAGATGGAGTAGACGGGAGAACATAACAGCAGAAAAAGGAGAAGAAAAAAAGAAAATAAACATTAGTATTAGTGGGAAGGATAGGAAAAACCGATTCAATACGTACGAATTTTTTTGTTTGAAAAATATTAAATTTTAGATATCTATTTGAAGAACTAGTTGTAGTGAAAAAGTACGTATATAACTAACAATAGCGATGCGAACAAACTCGATGATGTCGACGAGAGAGAGAGAGAGCGTGTGTGTGTGTATAGGGTAATAATAGAAACCAGAAAGAGAGCGCAAGAGAAGAATAGAGGAGAGAGAGAGAGAGAGAAAAGAATGCGAACGAACGACGACCAAGCAGAGAAAGCACAAACGGAAAAAAAGAGGGTATCTTATTTTTTCATTAACGACGAATCAGCTGCACGACACAACACACACATAAAAGGAACGGAGAAACAGCTGCTCTCTCTCTATCCATCCATCACATTTGTATGTATGTTAGATTGTGAGGTGGCGCATGAGCCAACCAATAGGAAAAATCATTCGTTGAAAGAAGAGAACAATTGCTCTTCGTTTCTTTTTTCCTCTTCTGAAATCACATGATGTTCGACAATGCGCGCGCACTTGGCCGAATGCCAGTAACATTTGTTGGATTGGCTACTGTTTGCATTCTCTTATCGTCGACAAAACGCACAAACCAAAAAAAAAATGAAACATACAAATATATATATTTTTTTTCTTCTTCTTTCTCTACTGCTCGGTTTCTATGAATAGACGACATGTGAGAAAGAAAAAGAATGAAAATCGACCAAGATTGTAACAACAGCAAGTTGATCATGACGATGACTTGTCGTTCGAATGTGTTGTTATCGCGTACTCTGTACCAAAACACATGAAATAGAAGTAAACGAAGAATAAGATGCAATTCATAAAATATATCGATTAGAATCGAAAAGATTCGCATATGATCGAATGTCTTACGCAGTGATTTTTAGAAGTTACCTTAAAATTGTTATCAGAAGAATTAGATTGAAGAGATTAAATTCTCAATCGATCAACAGCAACTGAGCTAATTTAAATAAACTTTCATGAGACTGGTAAAAGGCCTTAAAGGATTAATATTGTTAGAGCTTCTTTTCGAAGTGATATCTATTTTAATGAATGTTCAACATCTGAGTAAACTATGTGAACGAAGATATCCCATGACTGAATTTCACTTTGAAATTTTGCATCTATCACACGATTTCCAAGCGTGTTAACGATTAAGTCTTGATCGAATACAGGAAATTATGTGTTCACCTCTATTAGGTATTTTTATTGAAAACAAATATTCCAAACGAAATAAAACAACATATCGATAATTTGTCATGAACGAACAATATTTCAGTTGAGTGATGTCGAGCATTTGTGATCATGTCTCATTGATAAAACGATTTACAACATCATGTAAATATCCCTTATGGGCGTTTTCTACATGCATACGAGTGACCCGATTATCACTACCATGGAATGATCCAACAAGAAAAAAAATTAATTGGCGCTATGCCAAAGTTAGTCGTTGCCAAAAATGTGATTAGCAAAATAATCGTGATCTAAGAAAAAAAAAAGTTGCTTCGTTAAAGCCAATGAGCCTATCCAACATATGATAGAAGGAGAAGAAGAAGAAAAAAACGTACGTTTGTTCTGGCAATAAGCCAGACACAAAGAGTAACTCAGAAGAACGCATGCGACCTAACATGAGAGTATTTTACTTTGTCCTCTTTTACTTCACAACACAGTTAACTCGATATTTGAACAAGTATATAACTATGAATAATACATTATACATATACATTTCATGTCATCGAAAAAACTCGAATCGATAAATCATACGCCTACATATTCAAAGACATGTGGCGATTAAACCGATGAATAGGACGATTTTTGTTCTTGTAGATATTTATCTACGATGTGTCCTTTCTGAAAATTAAATCGTTTAAGATGTTAAAACAAATATATTTCTTGTTTATGTTATAACATACAAGACACGATTCCATAGTGCTTAGTGAATTCCCATGAAAGCAATCAAACGGTTTTTTCTATAAAAAAAACCCTCATTTTGAGATAGGTTAGCTCCATGTGAAAGATACATTCGTGACTATACGCATTGACTGAAATGATGCAATATGTTATCAGTTTCTTTTATTGTTATGTATCTATACAAAATTTGATCTCTGAGGATCATTTTACTCGTTGTACATGTTTTTTTTCATTGTTGCTATATTAAAGTAGGGCAATATGTCAAATTTATATTTTGATATAATTATTGACTTTAATAATTTATAACACGAATTAAGTGAGAAGAAAATTGAACGATGAATATATTATATTTACAACAGATCTATAAAATTTCGGTTGATATAGATAAAACTTTTATGACAATAAAAGAAAGTATAGTACTTTCGATTAATAAATATTACACAAAAACGAGCATCGGTTAATTGTGCATTTGAAGAGTTTATCTAATATGTTCTTCATTGATAGATTAAAAGTTTAGAAACGACACAAATTTATGTAACAATGAAGCCATATTATTGTATTGGTTAAGTTATTCTTGGTCTTTTTCTGATTCTAATGGGTTATTGTTTGCTTTTTTTTAAGTCATAGGTAATCTATAGTTCGTTTTTCTATCGAATTCGATAGGCATCGTAGGACGATATCAAATGGTATCTATAAGTTAGGGGCGTAACCAGGGGGGGGGGGGGGGAAAGCC